GAGCCACTTCAGTCCCTGCCAGGGGCTCTGAGCTCTCCCTGGAGCCTTCTCCTCTCCAGGTGAACATTCCCAGCTCTGCAGCCTGGCTCCAGTGCAGCTCCCACCCTTGGAGCAATCTGTGGCCTCCTGTGGTTAAGATTTTTCTGCTCCAACAGATCCATGTCTTTCCCATTCTGGAGATGTGGTGATTCCCACCCTTCTGCTGTGGCCAGGTTGACTCCAGGTCTCTCAGCTGGGGTTCTTCCTTTGGTGGTGGCACCAGGAATCTCCCAGATTTTCAGGAAACAAAGGACCCTTAACCTCTAATTCCCACTAATTCAAGGGAATTTCCCAGGTTTCAGTTCCTGCCTGGGAAGAGAGAACAAAATAAACATGGATTGGGTTAAATTTATCTGTTGAAGGTATCCAGGTGCGAATAAGTGCAGTTGGTGCTCCCATAAATACCTTGGGAAGTTGGTGTGATGAGGAGAAAGAGAATTTGGAAAATGCCATCAGTAACATTTCCCAGGGAAAATTCAGGAGTGCAAAGCATCAATTTCTCTAAGATTTTATATGGATTTAGGCCTTTAATGTCTTCCAGGTTCTTGGAAATCTCCCCTATGGATTGGGCTGGATATAAACATGGCAAGGACAGGGAAAAACACAAAGGGAAATGTTTGGAGCTGGCTGGAATTTTTTGGTTGTCCAAAGCACTGAGAACAAGGACAAAACCTCCTCACTCTGCTCCAGAGAGAGATTTCATGGAATCTCCTGAAATCTGGGAGATGGAAAAGCTTCTTCTGCCCTGTACAGGGAAATGAAGCTGGAGATGTATTAAATAGACAGAATTTACTAGGGAAAAGCATTTTATTGAGGAAATGAATAATTTCAGACAGCATAAACTAATCAGAGATGTTTGGAGATGGGAGCTGTCCATAGAATTGAATTTGATCCAGAAGATAATCCAATCAAAGGATAAAAATAAGGTTGTTTATTACCTGTTGTAAAAGAGTTGTCTGGGCAGAGAATAAAAACCAGTTTTGTCTCTGTAATAAAGTTTTCCAAACAGCCTCATGTGGATATGTGGGATTTAAAAGAAATGGGATAATTTAATCCCCAAATTTGACCTCAGTGACGTCACTGTCCCTCATTGTCCCCTCATGTCTCCATTGCGTGGGGTTTGGGAACAATGAGAGAATCCAGTGTAATTAAATTTGGGAGTCAATTCCAGAGCTGACATTCTCAGAATTTCAGTGATTTAGAGGCATGGAGACCTTGATGTCAAATATAAAGGAATAATAATAATAATAATAATAAAAATAATAACAATAATAACAATAATAGCAATAACAATAACAGCAACAACAATAATAATAATAATAGTTATTATTATTACTATTACTATTATTATCCTGATTTTTATAGTGCTCCATGAAATTATTGGAAAAAAACCTCTATTGGGAATCATCCTCAATTTTCAGCACATTCTAATTTTGACTGCAAAAATCCCAAGTCCTTTTCTCTGAACAAATCCTTTTTTGCAATTTTTCCATCTCACAAAACCCCCTCCTGTTCTGGGACCCTCCCCAGGATTCCCATTTCTCCAAATCTTGGATGCACACGGAGATTTATGGAAGTGCCTTTACCCCAATCCCACACCAAGATCAGGGAAGGTATTGGAGGGAGGATGAACAGACAAGGCAGGACAGAACCAAATCCAAGAGAAGTCAAAACCTCCAAACATCACTGGAATTAACAGTGGGATTGGGGGAAAAAAAGGATTTTCAGCATTCCCTCGGCAGCATTCCAGCTGTTTAACACTGGATTTTTTTTTTTGCCTGAAACTGAAGACTCCGTTCCCCACATCCCTCAGCTGTTTTTGTCAAGGAAAATGATTCAGAATGCACCAAAGTTGTTTTTCCTTTGGATCCTGCTGGCAGATAGGAGCTGACCAAGGGAATGTGCACAATAACAAACAACAAGAATTGTTTTGGATCGGATGGATCCCTCGGGATTGGTCTCGTGTCTTCTTTCCCTTCAGCTTTTCCCTGCCAGACACTCCCTCAAATAACTCCCGCTGCCCTTCAGGCCTTGCTGGTTCCTCTGAATTTACTGCAGCTTTTCCAAGGGAGTTTTGGAAAATTCAGGATTCTGCTTCTGGAGTCCTGTGGTTGTTCCCAGGGAGGGTGAATTTCCCTCAAAATCCAAATAAAATTTCCAGTCTTCATGGGGCAGCTGCAGCTTCTCTGGGAACCTGTGCCAGGGCCTCCCCACGTTCCCAGGGAAGGATTCCTTCCCAAGATCCCATCTAAAGCTACTCCCTTTCAGTCTGAAGCCATTCCCTGTGTCCTGTCCCTCCAGCCTTTGGAAATTTCCCCTCTCCATCTTTCTGGTGGCTCCTTCAGGTCCTGGAAGGGCACAGTGAGGTCACCCCAAAACTTCACCTTTCCAGGATGAACACTCCCAATTCTCCCAGCCTTTCCTCACAAGAAAAGTTCTCCATCCCTCTCATATCCTCCCCAGACTCACAGGAACTGCATCCACTGGGAATGAGGAACCTTTCAGAAGAGAGTTCCAGGTCAAAAAAAGCCTCTCAAAATCAGAATTCCAGGTTCCTCCTTTACCACGGTGATTTCACTTGCTTTGCCATCTCTCAAACAGGATCAAATATATCCAAAGAATATTGCATGAGCTCTTTGGATGCTGGAACTCTGGGATAGACTCTGGATGGACTCGTGGAATGGACTGGTTGGCTGCATCCACGGCCTCAATTTACCCCTGGCTGAAGCCCCTCATCCCTCCCACACAAACCAGCTCAGAACGTGCTTTGTGATCCACCTGCTGCTCCAGGGAAAGCATTCCCCATCCCTGCATCCAGCAGGATTCCTGCAGGAAGCCTGTGCAGTGCTGCATGTGGAATCCAGCTGTGTGTCAGCACTTTGGCACACCTCGACCCTTCCCCTCTCCAGGGCTGTTGATTCCAAACAGACTTCGTTTGGATTGAATTTCATTTTCTCACTCCAAGTTTGGCTGCCTGGATGTTCCCTCTTTTCCAGGGGCTGCCTGGATGTTCCCTCTTTTCCAGGAGCAGTTGAAGGCCCTTCAGCAGAGCTGATATTACTTGTTAATCCTTGTGGCATTCCCTGGAGCGAAGAGAAATGGAAAATGTTTTCCAGAGGTTTTGTTCTTCGAGAGAGAGCTGCAGAGCTGCTGAAAATCTGAAACCCCTGTTTCAAACTGAAATTCTTGTTTCTCAGGGGGAAAATTATCCATGGTTTATGTCCATCCTGGCCTTGGACACTCCCTGGGATCCATGGGCAGCCACAACTTCTCTGGGAATTCCATCCCAGCCCCTCCCCACATTCATCTTGAAATTATCTTCCTTTTATCCAGTCTGAATCTTCCCCTATTTAGTTAAAACCCCTTTTATCCAGTCTGAATCTTCCCTTATTTAGTTAAAAACCCTTCTCCCAGTCCTGGCTGTATTGGATCACAGTAGGATCACTCCAGACCCACTTCCATGAACCAGCCCTGGGGAAAACAATTTCTTAGAAGATTCAGTTCAGTAAATCTGAGCCTTCCCTTGACCTCAGTTAAAACTGAGCCTTTCCCACATAGTTTTCCTTAAGTTTCCCTGGAATAAAAGGCTGCACAGCATCTCTTTGAGAGTGGCCCTAAATCCCAGCTGGAGAATGCAGGAGAAATTGAGGAATAAACAGAAAACAGTGGGAAAAGCTGAACTGGCCAAATGTCCCTTTTGTCCCTCCCACAGCATGGAGCCCTGCATTTTGAAGGAAGCTCCCAGATCCCCTCTGGGATTGGTGGCACCTCGTGGATCCCTGGAGCTCTGCTTTGCACAGGGAGGAGGCTGGAGCAGGGCAGGAGCATTGGCTGCTCCTCCTGCAAATGTGAAATACAATCCCAGGGAAACTGAGGCAGTCCTTCATGGAATGTCATTCCCACTGCTTTGGCTGCTCAGTACCATCAAACCCTCCCTGGAATTCACTCCTCTTGCAGCTCTTCCCTCCTGGATTGGTCATCCCAAAACAAAGTGACTCCAGAATTCACAACTTCACCAGGACCAGATTAGAGAGGAATTTTATTTCAGTGAGACTGGGCCTTTCTATATCCAGGTTGGACAGGGCTGGGAGCAGCCTGGGACAGGGGGAGGTGTCCCTGTCCATGGCAGGGGTTGGCACTGGATCATCCCTTCCAACCTAAATGATTCTGGGATTCTCTGACTGAAGGAGCCAAGCCAGGCCTGAGGATAAGGATGTCAGCAGTGGAATTACATCTCCAGAAATCCTGGGAGCACGGATGGGAGCTGACCAGGGTTGTTCCCAGCTCCTGAAAATCACAAGCCTAAGGAGGTTTTGAAGCCACCCAGTGTGAGATTTTCCTGTAGGATTCCCAGATAAACTCATTACAATCTTTCTGTGTCCTTAATGAACTGGAGGATCCCATGGAGCTCCTTCCTCATGAGCCCAGACGAATAATTAACCCACACCCATCCAAGTGTTCCCGACAGGATTTTTGAGGTTCTGAGTCCAAGAGACAGGAAAAGACACGGCAGAAAAATTCCATGAGAATCAATAAAGGTTTCTTTTTTATTGGAATTCCCTTTTACATACACCTGTGGTTTGCCTTTTCCCGCTCGTTGCTTTGGTCCATGCAGAAAGCAGAAGTGGAGGAATGTAAAACAAATTCCTGCCTGGAGACACACACACATGGCAATGCCCCTGGAATCAAGCACGGATGGGAGCTGACCAGGGCTGTTCCCAGTGCTCCTGAAAATCACAAGCCTAAGGAGGTTTTGAAGCCACCCAGTGTGAGATTTTCCTGTAGGATTCCCAGAGAAACTCATTACAATATTTCTGAGTCCTTAATAAACTGGAGGATCCCATGGAGCTCCTTCCTCATGAGCCCAGAGGAATAATTAACCCACACCCATCCAAGTGTTCCCGACAGGATTTTTGAGGTTCTGAGTCCAAGAGACAGGAAAAGACACGGCAGAAAAATTCCATGAGAATCAATAAAGGTTTCTTTTTTATTGGAATTCCCTTTTACATACACCTGTGGTTTGCCTTTTCCCGCTCGTTGCTTTGGTCCATGCAGAAAGCAGAAGTGGAGGAATGTAAAACAAATTCCTGCCTGGAGACACACACATGGCAATGCCCCTGGAATCACACCTTTATCCTGTAGCTTTTTGGGGTTTGTGCCTCTTCTGGAGGGGAACAAGGTCTTGAAACCCACTTCAGTGTTGCAGAGGGACAAACACCCCCCTGCTCCTCTCCCTTCTGCTCTGAGTGGAAAAAGGAGCAAATATCCTGGAAAAACTCCTTTTCCCAAAGGCCAGACCCCGTGATTTGTGGTGACCACCAGGGCTGGGTCACCCTGAAGCTGCTGAGCTGAAGGGGTTCAGCAGCAGGTTTGTCTCCTCGTGGATCCTGATGGGAAGAGCTCCACCAAGGATCTGGAATGTGGGATGGGTTTGGTGCTCGGCTGTGCCTGTTCTTCCTCTTCCCCCACCACCACCACTCCTGTCCCACCAGCTCCGCCTCATCCAACCTGGCCTTCCAGAGATCCCACCTTTGACAACAAATGGCTTCTTCTCCAAGGCCACGTTGGACAGGGCTTGGAGAACCTGGGATAGTTCCATGGAACCAGAACTGGGTGGTTTTAAGGCTCCTTTCCAACCTAAACCCATCCTGGGATTCTCTGATTGCTCCTTTCCTGCAGCTCTCAAGGAAGAAGGATTTGTTTAGATAGAGGATGAGGTAAAAGACTGGCCTAGCAAGAACAGCTCAGCTCTATCTTTAGGCTGGCTCATGTCTCATAAAGCTCTGCTTTAAATCAATGCTGCTTCTCATGGTTTTGTCTCCTCTTCAGGCACCTGAGCTCCCTTCTTGGGCCACTCTTTAGTTAAGCTGGGCTTAAGCTGCTTTTCCAGTGGCTTTTCTATCCCTATTTCAGAGGATGCAACCCTGGGCATTTTGGAAACCAGGCACACACTGATCCCTCCATCCCAAACATTTTAATTCCAGGTACTTCCAGCCAAGTGTCTCCCACATCCTAAATCTCCAAATGGGGAAGCTGATACCAAGAGAAAATGAAGAATTTTAGGAGAGGAAGCTTCCCCTCAGACCTTCTCCTACCTCTGGATGTCAGGGATCCTGCTGGATTCTGGATCTGAAGGATAAAGACACCCTGAAGTCCCAGTGCCAATTAAGGTTTTGGGAACAGGGAATTTATTTGAATAATTGCCCTTTTCAGAATTTTTGGGTGAAGGCCACTCCATGGAAATCAACAAACACCTCAGTGCTGATTTTCTTGGGATCAGGATTTCATCCCAAATTGTGCCAGCACCTCTGGTTTTGCACACCCCATCGTTAGCCCAAAATCATTAACCCCCAGTCAGAGGAAATAATTAAATTCCATTGAATTCCTTAGTTAATGGGCCAGGAAAACCATTGCGCCAGTCGAAGGGAGAAGTTTCTCTGTGGGACCCAGAAAAAATGGGTCAGAATTCTGTGTTCTTAAGCTGAGTTTGTTCTAATTTACCTCTTTTGCTAGTGAAAAAAAGAAGGAAAAGTGGCAGTGAGGATGAAAAGGAAATTGTACTGACTTTGTCACACCCCACCTTCCCCCTTTTCCTCTCTTAATATTCCTCCAATTAGGAGAAATCCTAATTAGGCACTAATTTATCTCTGTCAGATCTGTCTGCATGGAAAGAAGTCAGATTTATTGGAGTTACTCCTGATTAACGGGGTGAGCTTTCCAGAACTTATCCATTCATTCCTGCCCCCTGCCAACCCCTCAGCTGATTTCCAGCCCTGGAAATGCCTCTCTGGGGACAGATTTTGGGATGTGCCATGGGTACTCAAGGGACTAAGTGCTCCCAAAGGAGACCTATCAGAGAATCAGGAATCGCTGGGATTGGAAAAGCCCCCTTGGATCATCGACTCCAACCAGACTCACCACCCCACAGCTGGGTGCAGAAACCACAGGAGCAGATGAGAGGGTGAAACTCAAATTAAACAGGAATATGTAACGTTGTATCAGCTCTAATCTCAAATCCCTGGACATGCTAGAAAGATTTCTGGGAACTCTGGAGCACTGAGATCCTTGAGGGGAGCTGTTGTTCACTTGGAGGGTGAAATGCTGGGCTGGAAACCCTTCCCTGCTCTGTGGGAAAGATTCCAGAGGAACCTGAGTTAATCTTTCTTTTAATGCTCTCCCAGGATCATCTTTCCTCCACTTGACTCCCAAATCCTGGCAAAATGTTGATATTTTTGGGAACTTTGTGTGCTCTGGGGCTACTGGAAACCTGGAAAACAGTGGAAAAAGTTGGAGGATCTGAGTTCACATGAAAGGATGGGAAGGAGAATGAAGGAGGAAAGGAAAGGAAAGGAAAGGAAAGGAAAGGAAAGGAAAGGAAAGGAAAGGAAAGGAAAGGAAAGGAAAGGAAAGGAAAGGAAAGGAAAGGAAAGGATAAATGGGATTATGTCCAGCTGATCATTGGGTGTCCTTGGATTTAATCCCAACACCGAGCCTGGTCTGTAATTCTCAGCAGAGCATTTCTGGAGCTGCAGTTGGAAGCTGGATTTGAAATCCATTCTGCAAATTGGACCTGAGTCCTGAGCTGTGCTTTAGCTCCAGAGCTGTTCTGCCTTTTCTCTGCTCTGAGTTCCCCCAACTCCCCTCAGCCGAGCAGCTCCTGCCTCATGCCAAGGAATATCAAATCCACACTGGAGCTGCTTCCAGCTGTCCTGCCCTGGAGTCCAGCTCAGAACGTCTCTGCCCACTCACTGGAGAGGTTTTATCCAGCACAGAGAACTGGGAGAAGCCAGAATTCCAGACACTGTCCAGAGCCCAGCAGAGCACTCAGCAGGACCCCAGAAAATAAACAACAATAGCTTAAGATTTCTATTTTGTTGTTTGAAATCCTCCTGGAGTGGGGCACAAACACAATGAGTGTTTTCTCTGATCTCTGTGCCCTTTTCCCATAAATCCACCAAGATTTAGGACTATTTGGGAGTAATTTCCAACCCACGACACCTGAACTCTGCCCCAGGTGTGATGAGTACAGTGAGTGATCCAAGGTGATCCAAGGAAATCACATTCCCATCCCAAAGCTCTGGATTGGTCTGGGAACTGTCAGCTGAGATTGGCTTTGAACCATAAATCCTTTTCTCCAGCCAAATTTGCACCCAGTTAAAAGGGGAAATTAAATGCTGAATTAAGTTATTTAAATAAGATTTTGGTGTTGTTTTGGAGGGATAGTTTGGAAAAAAGAATTGAAGTGTGGGAAAAGACTCCCAGAGGAAAATCCAGGCTCCAAACCTCCTACAGAGCAAAGAGCAGGCAGTGAGGATTCCTGTCAGCACTGAGGGAAGGAAAACCAGGATTAGGAGATTTATCAAGGGCCTTTAAAAGCCTTGACAGCAAATTAGTTTGGAGTTAATCACTAACTGAAGCAGATCAGATGGATTTGTGTCTCAGCAAAGTTTGTTTGGTGTCTCTGTTTGGTGTCTCTTTAAACGGCCAAGGAGGAGCTGGAAACACCAAGGAGGACTTGGGAACACCAGGGAGGACATTAAAACATCAAGGAGGACATGGAATCACCACGGAGGACATGGAATCACCAAGGATGACCTGGAAACACCAAGGAGGACACGAAAACCTCAAGGATAACATGGAATCACCAAGGAAGACATGTGAGAAAAAGAGCCCAATCTATAAATGAGGTTTCTTAACTTTTTGAAAAATCAGAACCTGAAATTAAAAATCCTTTTGGCCACTGAGTTTGTCCAGACAACCAAAAGGAATAAAAACTTTGGAGATCTTCCCTCTCTGTGGATTTTCATGGTTTAAAAAGCGGAAAATTCTTCCCAGCACTGTGGATGTTCCCTGACCTCCAGCTGATTGCCCATAAACAGATAAACAAAGCCAATCCCTGGCTAAAAAATTCAATTTTGGGAGATCTTTGTGAACTTTTTTGGCTCCAGAACAAGACAAGGAGCAGAGCTGAGGAATGATGAGGGGTAGGACAAGACATGATCTCATCTGAACCCAGACCAAGGGGAATGGAGGAGGCAGAAAAACAATTGTCTGCCCTTATCCAGGAGAAGCAGGAACGGCAAAACTGCTGCCAAAAAGTCATCCCAAAAAGTAAAAGGAAGATTAAACAGCTGTCAAATCCCAGAGAAGAGCAGGATCATGGAGCAAGGAATCCCGAGGAGAACTCTGCTGCCGTGGATGGGAATAGAAGAGGAACAATAGAGGAACCTGCCGGGGGTGAGATTCCCTGTCCAAGCCCAACATGTGGCTCTGAAGAAGAGGATGATGATCCAAAAGATTCCAGAGAGATTCCATGTGAGCCAGTCAGCCGGGATGCTGCAATGGACAGCTTGGCTTGTAGAAGTGAGAGGCTCCATGGAAATACTCCATGGAGCATTGCCAGATGTTTTCTAGGATGAGAGGAAAACGGGCACAGATCTGACACAAAGGAGGAGGGAAAACAAGGGAGAAACAGGGAACAGCTCTTTTGGATCTTTTCCTCCTCCTTGAAGTGAACTTGGGAAAGTTTTTTCCACTGTTTTTCAAGGTGGACAGGGCTTGGAGCAACCTGGGATAGTGGAAGGTGTCCCTGCCCATGGAATGAGGTGGGCCTTAAGGTCCTTTCCAGCCCAGCTCATTCTGGGATGATTCCATGACAATGATTCCATGACAACGATTCCATTACAACAACTCCATGACAACAATTCCATGACAATGATTCCATGACAACAATTCCGTGCCACGTTTGCTGCACCCCAGCTCCAGTCTGCTCTCCTCTCCATGATCCCATGTTGGATCTGAACCAGGATGGGCACAAGCCCTGTCATTCCTGCAGGATTTGTGGAGGGCAGTGAGTGAATCCTGAACTAATGAATCCTCCCCTCCAAGGTTTCTGTTTCCCATGGTTTTTGGGGCTGTGTTTCCACAGGAAAACCCCACAGGGGAGGAACCCAGGGGAACTCAGACCTTTGGATGGGGACAAACTCCTTGGGAAATGTCCTCAGCTCTGGTGATGGGGGAAGGGAAGAGAAGCCTGCTCTGGATCCGAAGGACTGGCTAAGCTCCAACAGGATCATTCCATTTGTCCTTCCTGGGCAAATCCTAACCCGAAACTGGGGCTTCTTCTCTCTTTCTAGACATGCCAGCTCTGATTCTTCCTCACTAAAATCCAGGAGGGATGACCCTGGATCTCCAGATAATCCTGATCCATAGACTTAATCAAGAGTTTGGGATCAGCCCAGGAATGATGGGAACACACTGTGACAAACAGATCCTGCTGGGCCTTAGTGGCAGTTTTCCCTCTGTTTTGGTGTCAGCATTATCCCAGTTTTTACACGGATGCTGCTCATGCACACAAACATTCAGGAAAGAAAAATCTATTTATGATTTGCAATTCAAAGGATTTAAAAAAATATTTCTTCCCCCTGCACAACCATAGTGCCTGTAATTTTCATCTACATTTAAAACCAGGTTTGATTTATTTTAATCCTAAATAATCCAGTGTTGAATTCATTTCAGTGAGAGCTGCATTTTAGGAGGGGGGTTATGTTTGTTTATAAATAAATTTATGGCTTTTGCTGATTCCTTGAATTTCTGAGGGATTGTCAAATGTTCTCAATCTTGAGTAATAAACACAAGCAAAGAGTGAGTCACTGGTTGGGGTTTTTTGGTATTTTTTCTTTGTTCCAGCAGTGAAATGATAATTTAGAAATGTTTTTGAGCCAGAAAATCAGGAGGGGTAGAAGAAGAGAGCAGGAAAATGGATTAATTTTTGAAAAGTTGATATTTTGATAACTCTTGTTTGGTGGGAAAGGGTTATGATGAGGTCTGACTTCTTTTGATGAGGTGAAACAAGAAAAGAACATCACAAATAAATATTGGCTGTCAAAGATTTCTGTTCAGGACAAGAGGGAACGGCCTCAGGCCTTTTTTCAGGCTCAGGGTGGACACCAGTAGGAATTTCCCCATGGAAAGGGTGATCAGCCTCAGAAGGAGCTGCCCAGGGAGGTTTGGAGCTCCCATCCCTGGAAGTGTCCAAGAAATTCCTGGATGTGGCACTCAGAGCTGTGGTGGGGATTGGGCACAGCTTGACTTGATGACCTTGGAGGGCTTTTCCAGCCTCAGGGATTCTGGGATTCTGTGACCTGCAATAGATGGAGAGGAGCTCCAGCTCCTGTCAGAACCTCACAGCCACCACATCCCCCTCCAGGTCTGAATCCAAACCTTGGAGATGTCAGAGGGAGGAGACTTTATCCCGGATTCCACCAGGCTTTGGTCAGGCCCTGATCTGAGAGGTTGATAAAGATGTAGGACACAAAGTCAGGATCCCACCTGCTCTTCCTGACTTCCTTCAGAGTCTGGGGAAATTAATCCTTAATTAGCCCTCAGAAGAACAGCTAATGGAGTCTTCCTCCACATGAGATTGTGGATTAATTGTCCAGAGAAACTGTGGATACTCCATCCCTGGAAGTGTTGGCAGGGCTTGGAGCAACCTGGGATAGTGGGAAGTGTCCCTGCCTTGGCAGGGGGTGGAACAAAGTGACCTTTGAGGTCCCTTCTAACCCAAACCAGTCTGGAATTCTGTGAGGAGAATGTGAAGAGTGAGGAACAATCCCGAGTTTTAAGAAAGGACTGAAGCCGTTTTCCATGAGCACCCACAAAAAGGGAGGGCTGAGTTTTCCACCCTAGGAGCTGATTTTGGCCACAATCACCCCTCTGGGATGTGCACCTTGGTGGTTCCCTCTCCAACTCCCCCTCTGGAAGAGCAGGAATGCCGCACATTCCGATAACCACATCCAACCCTAAAATTGTACCAGTTCCTGCCTTGCTCCCAGGATTCAGGGAAAGGAGAGGACAATCCCTGCCTGCCTGCATGAGCTGTTAACCCTCCCCACCACAGAAGAGCATTTTGCCACGGAGTGAGAATTCCCAAGGGAAGAAGATCATGGAACTGGTGGTACCCAACATGTGACCGACGGATGGCGGGGCCTTCCCCAACCCTGTGTGTGTCGCCAGGCAGATCCACAGGCAGAGAACAAACCAAACCCAAGCCACTGCCCCCCAGGGTGGCTTGTCCCCTCCCAGGACGATGGCACTGCACCCTCCCTGCACGCCTCCTGCTTTCCTGGGGGACGCTCCCGTCCTCCTTGGCCGCCCACACTCTCCGAGGGATCCAAGGACCACGCAGGGCTCTGCAGCCCTCCCTGGTGAGCTCCCAGGATCTCCGGTGTCCAGCAGGTCTGGAGAGCTCTGTTATCACCAGGACAACGTGGAACATGGAATTCATGGATGGCATCACCCACTGGCCACGCTGGTGGCTCACTTTTTTTCCCCCCCCCAAATAACTTAATCTCTCATTCCACAGAACAGAGGAGCTGCATGGAAACCCTTGGAATCCGCTGCATGGCCTGATGGTCTTTTCCCACTACATGCTCTCCAGGAATCTTTTTTCATCCTTTGGCTGAATTTTTTTCTTTCCTCCTCCTGTCCTTACATCACTGTCTCTCTCTCCTCTTCCACAAGGACCGTGGGTCTGTCTCCATCATAAAGCCCGGAGCCATTCAGGTATTCCTCATCTTTGTTGTACTGCTCCGGGCCGGAGGAAGGCATGGAATTCTCTGAAATGGAGCCATTTTTCACATAACCTGGCAAATTCCGGTGGCCGTTGAGGGTCCCTGGAATAAGTCTCGTGTTGAGGTGGAGGGCAAGCGCCCCTCTGGTGGCTACATTTGTGATGCTGGTGTGGGAAACCATTGGTCCATAACTGTAGGTTGTGCTCCCACTCCGGGCTTTCCTTTTAAAGTCAAGTGCTAAAGTCCACCTGCTCCATGACTTCTTTATTTCTGCTTGGACCTGAGGGGAAAAAAAAGAGGGGAAAAAACCCCATGAGTGGGAGAAGAAAAATACCAGAAATATGTGGTGTCCATAGATGGAATGGGTGGGAAACTCTGTGGGGACTTGGAATTTCATGGTCTTTATGGGTCCCTTTCAACTCAGGAGAATCTGTGATTCCATGAAGTTGGAATAAATTCATATTAAATAAATAATAAATTCACATTAAATCTGCCCTTTCCAAATGAAATACTGGACACTGGGAAGCTTGAATGGCTGAAAACATCTGGCTGGAAAGGTGGGATAGCTCTGCCCAAAGGTTAAGGGAGAGAAGCACATCCAGGAGGGAATTGTCTCAATGTCCCATAAAAATCACGTGTCAGTGGGAAAACCACCTTGAGAGGCACCTGAATCCTGAGAAAATTCCCTAGAACGGGAATTTTAGACTGGGTCTAAAGTAGGTTGCTAAATTTAGGATGAGATCAATTCCCTTTAGATTTTATCCTCATTTTATCTGCAGAAAATAAACAGTTATTTTAAAAGTTTTATTTCCCCTTAAAATCCATAAATTTAGGTTATAAATTCCCTTCCCTTAAAATACATAAATTTAGGTAATAAATTCCCTTTAAAATCCATAAATTTCATTTTATGCCAGTCTGTGGAAGTTCTTCCCTCGGGTGCAGCCAGTGACCATCCACTTTCTTAATTAGCAGTAATAGAGGGAATTAATGGAAATACAGAAAATAAAGTATATTATTCTGGAAATAGATAAAAAAGTCAAAAGAGCCAGGAGAAATCCAGATTTTTTTTGTTAATCAGTGACTCTATCAGTCCATTTTTCCCCCTAATTTGAAATAAAGCAGCATTAAGCAGCACTTGTGCTAGGAAATTAAAAATTCCACATTTTTTCTCCATTAGCTGCTTCCAGTAGCTCATTTATCGGTACCATGCTGACCTGGGGGTTTTCCACCAGAAAAAAAAATGAGGATTTTAATTTTTTATGGGGACTGAGAGACCTCGGACTGCAAGATAAGTTTGTTTATTATAGAAAAGTGAGGATGTGCTGATGTGCATCCACCTGGGTGTGGAGTTAACCCAAGAAGGGAGGGAATTAAGATGTTCATGACTCACCTCTCCATTGCAAAAACAGTATATGATGGCAACAAAAAATCCCTGGAAGGAGGAAGAAACAACAAATTAATGGGAATTTAGGGAAATTTGGGTCTCTTTTCTGCCCAGCACCCCCAGGCTTGTCTGAGATTGGGGACATTAAAAATCTTCTGTGGAAAATGTGTGTGAGAAATGTGGGATTGTTCAGTGGGGCAGGAGAGGGAAACAGAAAATTCCCTGTGGATGGAGCTCCTGGTGGACAAGGAGCCAGCAGAGTGTCCTGGGAGACAAGAGGCCAACGGGATCTTGGGGAGCATTGGGAAGAATTGGGAAGAACATTTTTTGCTGGACAAATTTCCCATTTTCTTGTTGCGTTTTGCAAGTCGAAAACAGATTTGAGGCTCAAATGTTTTCAAATCCCCTCATGAATTAATTCTAGTGTACTGTAAACCCAGCCCTGCTTCCAAAGGCAGCCTTGCACCCACATTCCCCTCCTCTCCCTGCTGAAATTCCCATGTTTTCCCAGAGTTCTGATACCTGGAAAGAGTTGAACAGCATTTCATAGTGCATTTGAACTTGCCAAAGAATCCCTGACACGTCTGTGTATGGCATAGCCATGAAAACAATATAGTGAACGCCAAACAGAGGCATAAGGACGAGGGTAGATTTCAGCAGCTTCCTGTGGGAAAAAAAAGGGAAAAAAAGGGAAAAAAGGGGGGAAAAAAAGGGAAAAAAAGGGGAAAAAAAGGAAAAAAAAAAGAATTAATGCATAGATAAACCTCCCCAGCATCACCAGCCCAGCCAGGTTTGTCCCTGGGTATGAGCTGCTCATGGTTTTCTCCTTGTCCCCTTGGATATGGAATGCCTACACAGGTGCTGTGGAATTCCACCTGAATTTCCAAACTGTTGGTTCATGCTCCAGCGTGGGCCAGTCCAACCCTCGACATGGCCCTGTGTGATGCTGGAGGTGACAACACTGAGGTGGCTTTTCCAGCCTCAGACCAACTCCAGGTTTGGGTCAGGATTATGGTGGGGAAGGTGGAAAGGAACAAAAGGAATTTGTGCTGCAATTCCAGCCCTCAGTCTCCAACTAAAATCCACCAAATCCCCTTATCCCTAAAGGATGATTCTCCATCTTCCCGTGGTCCTACACGACCCGCAGTGGCTGCCACTGCTTGAGCAGGAGGGTGGAGAATTGACTTCCAGAGGTCTTTTCCAACCTCAACCACTCTGTTGAGGCAAGACAGGAAAATCCACCCTGGATCAGTGGCTCCTGTGCAACGAGCAGATCTGGAGCAGAGGGAGATGGGTTAGGAGTGGAATTACTCCAGATATTTGGAGAAGAGGACAGAGCAGAGGTGGACACTCCTAGGAGGTGCTCTGGGCTTCAGCATCACTTGGAAAAGCTCCTTTTTCCAGGGAGCAGCTCCTCCTCAGCACAGGATCAGTGCTGGGGACTCCACGGAGGCACCACAACCCGGAGTATTTGGCTGGGCTGGCTCCGGAGGGAATCAGCTTTGCCTGGAAGTGACATTAATTGAGGGATTAGACCTCGTGCCAAGAGTTCCAGCAAGTGGCCGAGTGCAGCAGGGATCGGGAAGGGCAGGAATCACTCCCAGCAAGGCCCGGCACCGCCTCTGTCCAGTGCCTGCAAACCACCGAGGGAATTTAACACTTTAAAAGGAGCGGGCCACATCCAAACCATAATTAATGGCAAAGCTTCAGCCAGGGAGAAGTAAATAAATGGATAAATCAGAGCCCTGACAGGGCAGAGAGGAAAACTGGGAGGTGTTTTCCTGCCAAATCTCCCTCCTGCCTCAAATGTGTGTTTGGAGAGGGAGGTGGGAGTGATGAGCTCATGGTTTACATCCCAAACCATTCCGCTCTCCCCCCTTCCCAAATGTCCTGTTGGGCAGTCCAGGAGATCCTGAGAAGCCTTGGGAGCTCTCAAGCAGCCGTGGTGTCCCAGCAATCTGATTTTTCCATCCAATTTTTGACCATGCTACAAATAACCTGAATTATCAAGGGAGATGAGCTGGCAGAACAAAGGAAAACCAAACAAAAAATGAAACTAAACTGGAATCTTTTTTTCAGTTCAGCCAAGGCACTGAAACACCCGCTCAAGGGCAGTTTAACCAATAGGCCAAGCTTAACAAAGCACAGGAGGGAAATAAAAATAAGCAAATAAACTGATACAAGTTTTATGGCCTTCAACAGCACAAACAATGTTTTATTTTTGCACTTTGGGTTCAGAAACTGGCTGAAGAGCAGGAATTCTTCCCGAACCTCCAGCAGGCTGGATTTGAAAGGCTTAGGAGAGTTTTAAATTGCTCTGGTTCATTCTGCATTACAGTTTGAAGACAACAAACTTTTCGAGTTATTTTGGGTGGCACCAGTGTCACCCTGGGCTTTCTCCACAGCCAAGGGGGACCAAGGTCTTTGTCCCATCCCAGAAAGGGGACAGGGCAGGTGACACTCACCTGTACTGTTGTCTCGAGTCGCACCTCCCTGCATTCGTCTCTCGGAGCTTGGTTGCGAGGACTCTGATAATATTGATAAAGAGAATAAAATTTACCTGCAGGGACAAGAAAACAAACAACAAAGAAATGAGAGCCGTTAAAAAAATTGATGAAAATGGTGGAGTTGTTCAGTTGACGTTTCCCCCAGGTGAGGCAGGGCCTGGGACTGGGGGGAAGCTCCTCCTGTGGAAGGGATGATCATTCCAGGAATGATCCTGGGGTTTTTAACCTTCAGGGAGAATATGGAATGGCTCATGAGGTGTGGACATCTCACATGGAAACATCTGAGCCAGCCAGACCAGCAGGAACCTGGAGGAAGCCAAAATTAGGTTTTATTTGTATTTACAGCCCAGCTGGGATTAAGATCCCCTCAGGATACCAGGAACACTCGTAGGATGTCTTCCCACATTTCCATGTGCAAAAGGAAAGAGGAACAAGACCAAGGCACCATGGTGAAGACACAGAGTGGACCTAACTGGAGATGACAGCTCAAGAATGCAGAAGGGCAATGAAACTGTTGGATTTCTCCCATATTCCCACTTCCTCTGGGAAGTGTTTAGGATGGAGCAGGCGAGGACAGTCAGGGAATATCATCTACTGCCTTTCAGGGAGACACATCTGTGAACCCAACTCGTGGCCAGCTGCTCAAGATAATTCCAGTGGTGCCTTGGAACAGACTGCCCCAGGAAGAAGTGGAATCACCATCTTGGGAAGTGGTGGAATTCTCATCCTGGGAAGTGGTGGAATCCTGTGTGGATGTGGCACTTGGGGACAAGTGTTAGTGGTGACCGTGGTGGTGCAGGTTGGACTTGACCTGGGAGAACATTTCCAACCTTCGTGACTCCATCATTCCAGTCTTGTCTTACAAGAACCCCCTGAGGAAAATTTAATGGCAACACCTCATGGAGCAGAAAGATGGGCTGGCATTGGGGAGATTCCCATCTTTGTAGAGCTCTTCAGAGCTTGGTTTCCCTGGATCCCACCAGCTGCTGGCCCAGCCAAACCCTTCCATGGGATTATGGAGAGGGTACAGGCAGGAACATCCTGTATCCTCAGTGAGCAGATCCACGCTGTTGGATAATGCCTACGGATTCCTCTGGAGCCTTCAGCATCTTGAGACACCGAATTACCACACCACACACTGGCTTGGAGTTTTTGGGAGGAACCATTATGAACCTCAAGCTGGATTATCCAGGAGATTTCCTTGGATTCATTTTGGCTGGAGCCAGAGCAGATCCATGTTCTGGCATTTCCATGACAGAGATTTCTCCCTAAAACCATTGAAGAGTTGTTCTCACAGTCAGTTATCCTCCCTGGGAAAACCAGGAATTCCCTGAGCTGCTGAGCCAGCAGGGCCTGGTTTGCCATGGCTTTGTCACCTGTGGTTGGATTCCTCCTTCTTTGAGGAGGTGCAAGCTTGTTTGGAAATGTTCTCCATAAAAAAATCAGGGAAGGTCATGCCACACCCTTTCTGTCACTGGGGCATGAGAGAAAATTCTCTCCCATATCCATTTCCTCATTTTGATGAGGTTTGTGGGAATTTTACATCCCTGCAACACCATTCCCTGAGTTCCATTTGGCTGAAATTTCCTGACTGACACAGAAATTATAAAGGAGGAACGGACAGACCGACAGGCAGGGAAGGACAGAGCCTGGGGGCATTTAATTCCTTGGAAAACATCTGAAAGGGAAAAACCAAGCAGGATTTATGTCTCTATAGGAGCTTTTCCAGCTTTAAAGGCTCCAAAGTAGGATCTTGTTCTGCATTTTTCTGCAAAATTAAAGATGCTCAACCTTATCACACCCAGAAGGGAAACTCCTCTGATTTCCCCAAATATGCTAAATTTGAAAAGAAATCCAGACAAAGGAATCACATCCAAATTAGCAGAAAGTGGAGAGATTTTAAACCCCTCAGCCTCTAAAATCTCGTCCAGAAAATGCAGGACTTAGTCCAGCAACGTGGGAATGGCAGAAGCAGCCAAGTGAACAATATGAACCCACAGAAATTAAACAGACACAACCCACAGAATATTTTTGCATAATAAACAGCTGGATTTGCAAATTGCCAGGGCACCGGCACAACCTCCTGGAGAAACCTTATTTTTCCAAGGATAAGCCTCAATTGGGCTCTTTCTCCTCTGCTAATTGGCCTTCAAATGAAATGCGATGGGACCGCTGGAATTAATTTAATTGAACCATCTGAACTTTTTTCTCCAGCGTCTGCTGTTCCATTTCCAAAGATGTGGTCTTGGTGATGCGTTTCTTCCAAGGAATTTCTGGAGCCAGGTGGAGCATTTCCACCAAAAGGATGAAATCCAGGCTCCCCAAACCCCAAAGGTCTCACCTAATGGCACAGAAGAGCACATCCATCTCGGAAAATTTCCTGCTCTTTGTGTGTCTGCTGCTCTTCTCACCCACACTGGGCATCTTCCAAGGCCTCCTGATTTGGGAGGCAGGAGGAAGAGCCTCATTCCAAACCCTCTGGACTGTGGAAAGATTCCTACCAGCTCCACGAATGGATGAGTGGAAAGGGAGATGGGATCTGGGGGAGTGCGTGAGCTCTTTGACATGGATTCTCCTCTGCTTTGGAGTCTCCTTCTTTGACATGGATTCTCCTCTGCTTTGGAGTCTCCTTCTTTGACATGGATTCCACTGGGAGACTGAGCAATGGAGAACCCCAAATAAAGAGAGGTGGGAAGAGGGTAATTAATGAATTCATTATTTAGGACATAATTTAATTCACCTGGTGCAGATATATATATATATATATATATAACATTATAATGCCCTCTCCAGCTTTGGAGAGCTCCTCCTGTGTTGGGATAATGTCACTTGGATCCTTCCTTTCCCCTCTGGCTCCTGGGAGGGGGTTGGAATAATCCACCCTCAGTGAATAAAGATCCAATCAAAGCTGGGATGGTTTCATTTCCCTTCCCACCTCAGGCTTCCCAAACTTTTACCAGCTCAGAAATAATGGGATGACCCTGAAAAATTCCTGGGAAAAGCTTTGGTCCAGCTACAGGTCCCAAGTTCCATCTGTTCTGACTGGAGATGGCTGGTAAGAATGTGTTATGATACCTGAGAGTTTCCAAGGTCACCTGTGTTGGAAATATTGCCTTGAATGTTTGTTTTATTGATGATTTTCGGGTCTTAGCCATAAAAATGTGGGATTTTTTTCTCATTGAATTAACTCACAAACCCTTCTGCCATATTCAGCTGCCAAAATTCCAAGCAGGACAAACATGAACCCCTCAAAGTGGACCTGGAGGAATTATTATAAGGCAGGATTTTTGATAACAGGGTGATTGGAGTAGGAAATCCTGGATCAGCTCTTCCCAAGGACCCAAAGGCCTCCCAGCCCCTCACTCATCCCATACTCACCACGATAGCTGCCAGGATGGGCACCTGAATAATCCACTTTAAATTGCCAGCACTCAAGTCCCAACACCTGAGGAGAGATGGACATCCTGTCAGGAAAGCACTGGAAGAGCAATCGACTCAAGAGTTCCGTAGGAAAAATCCCCCTGGAAGGATGAGTTCCTCCAAAGCCTGGTGGAAGGATCTTGCTCTAACCCTTCCTGCACTCAGTGAGACTTGGGAATATCCCTTTTCCTGCTGTTATGCCACTAAAAAAATGAGAATATTCCTATGGTTGGGATGGTTCTGCTCTCCAGAGGGTGAAGTTCTTTCCAGCTCTTTCCACACCCATCCAGATTCGTCCCTTCTGGGCAGGAACAGATCCTTTTCCACTTCTTCACTTCCTCACCAGAAAAAAAAATCCCTACATTAAAAGTAACCCAGGTTTTATGAACACAGGAGAGGCTGAACTGATGTGGGATCACAGAATCCTGGAATGGGTTGGGTTGGAACGGACCTTAAAGATTATTTAAATCCCAATCCCTGCCATAGGAGAGAGGTTGCTCCAAGACCTGTCCAACTTGGCTTTGGACATTTCCAAGGATGAGGCAGCCACAGCTTCTCTGGGTGACTTGTGCCAGGGTTTCCCCACCCTTACAGGGAAGAATTTTTCCCAATATCCCATCCATCCCTACCCTCTGGCAGTGAGAAGCCATTCCCTGTGTCCTCTCCCTCCAGTTCCTGATGAATAATCCCTTCAGTTTCCCTGTAGGCCTCTTCAATCCTGGATATGTCCCTGCTCATGGCAGGGGCTTGGATTAGGTGACATTTAAAGGTCTTTTCCAACCCAACCATTCCATGATTCCCCCTTGGAATAAACCTGCACAACTTCCCATGGGGACAGGTGGTGATGGGGACAGTGCTGGGGTTCCACACTCATTTCCTGGGGGTTTCCTTCAACCCTGCCCTTGCAGCCAAAATCCCCCAAAATCTTTTATCTCCATCCACCTTCTGTCCTTATCCCAATGAGGACTGGGAGGGCCAATTAGTGATGATGTTGGGATGTTGGGATGTTGGGATGTTGGGATGCAGTCCTCCATCTGCCAAGGAGGAACAGGCTCTATTTGCTCCCAGGAGTTTCCAGCAGCCATTGGAAAAGCTGACTCAGCGTTAATTATTCTGTTGGAATTCTCTGCAGCTCTGGAGAGAGGAATGCCACAGCTTTTCCTTATCTGATCCAGGTAACCCCCACATGGCATTGGCAGTTTTCCCAGGCCAGCTCCTCAGGGAAGGCGAGGCTGGAAAGCCACCAGTGCTCCCTGGAACCTCTGTGAGGATGAGCGGGTGTCATGGATGTGTCACCCTTCAGCAGCTCTGCTGATCCACCCAACCAAGCCTGGAGCTGAAATCCCCTTTGGAAAGCAGTGTCTTCCCATGCAGAGCCATTTGGGAATGTCTGGGGACCCTCAGATGGAGGATCCTGGGAACATGGAAGTCCTTGTGTGGTCAGGCCTGTGAGTTTTGGGGGAAAGGCCAGGTTGGACAGGGCTTGGAGCAACCTGGGATAGTGGAAAGAGTCCCTGCCCATGGCAAGAGTGGAATGGGATGAGCTTTAAGGTCTCTTCCAACCCAAACCATGCTGGGATTGCAAAATCCATGGAGAAGTTACAGTTCTACCACTCCATCACCACCAAATTCTCTAACTGCGCTGCAGCTGCTGTGTCCCAAACTCATTTCTGCTCATTCAGGATTTTAAGGATCCCTGTCTTGTCCCTGCCCAGCTGTGACACAGTCCCCTTATCCCCAGGGATAACAACTGCAGGTATTCCCATTTATTGGATCCTGCAAAACGAAAGGAAAAATTATCCTTCCCTTCCATCCACCGCTCTCCATCTAAAGTTAATGATGTCACAATAGAATTCCAAATTTATCTGGTTCTTTTTCCTTTTGGAGTCACCCATAAATCCCACAAAACTCTGCACATAAAAGGGAGAGAAGGAAACCCAGTGGGACTTACTCTGTGTCGGCCAGAGTGGCTCTGACGCTGGCCCACACTGTGACAAACACAGCAGGGAGTCCTGCAAAAGAACACAGGTGACACGAGGTCAGTGGGGACCGAGGGCTCCGGCACCAAAATTCCAGGTGGAGTGGGTTAGGGGAAGGAGGAAGGAGCAGCTTTTAATTATTCAGGCATAACTGAGCCTTGGAAAGGCTGAGCTTTCACATCTGAGAGCTGAACTGGTTCAGTCTGGGGTGCTCACAACAAAGACATGGAGGGGCTGGAGCGTGTCCAGGAGGGAAAGGAGTTGGGAAAGGTCTGGAAAACTCCTGAGGGAGCTGGGAAAGGGGCTCAGCCTGGAGGAAAGGAGGCTCAGGGGGGACCTTGTGGCTCTGCACAGCTCCTGACAGGAGGGGACAGCCGGGGGGGTCGGGCTCTGCTCCAGGGAACAGGGACAGGAGGAGAGGGAATGGCCTCAGGCTGGGCCAGGGGAGCTCAGGGGGTAAATTTGGAAAATTCCTTCCCCAGAAGGGGCTGTTACACATTGGGACTGCCCAGGGCAGGGGGGAGTCCCCATTGCTGGAGGGATTAAAATCTCTGTGGATGTGGCACTTGGGGACATGGTCAGGGGTGGCCTTGGCAGTGCTGGGAACGGTTGGACTTGGTGATCTCCGAAGTCTGAGAGTGCTGGAACCTGAGAGACTGAAACTGGCTTTGGCCAACTCATCCCATGGGAAGCAGAGAACTCTGCTCTGGAGCCAGGCTGGAAGAGCTGGGAATGCTCCCCTGGAGAAGGGAAGGATCCAGAGAGAGCTCAGAGCCCCTGGCAGGGCCTAAAGGGCTCCAGGAGAGCTGGAGAGGGACTGAGGACAAGGCGTGGAGGGACAGGACACAGGGAATGGCTCCCACTGCCAGAGGGCAGAGATGGGTGGGATATTTGGAAGGAATTCCTGCCTGGGAGGGTGGGGAGGGGCTGGGATGGAATTCCCAGAGCAGCTGTGGCTGCCCCTGGATCCCTGGAAGTGTCCAAGGCCAGGTTGGACAGGGCTTGGAGCAGCCTGGAATAGTGGGAGGTGTCCCTACCCACTGTAGAAGGTGGAATGGGATGATCCCCAAGACCCCATCCAACCCAAACTATTCCATGATTCCAATGGTTTTACGCAGCACACCTTCTCCAAGATATTTCCTCCCTTCCTTCACATGAAGGAGAGGGTAAAGCAAGAGTCAGGCTCTGACAGTTTTTCACAGAAAATCCCTGGATGGATTGGAAGCTCTGTTAAATACAAGAGACCTGGTGCACGAAGCAGAGAAATGCTAAAATTTAGGATTGTGCTTCCAAAATATCCAGCCAAAGGTTCATTCCCAAAGGAGCCATCCTGATTTCAGCACAGCTACCCCAGGCCATCATCTTTTCCCTATGAAATGTGGAAAAAAATTTCCCCAATATCCAAATGCAACCTTGTATTTATTTTTTTTTAGGGTCCAGTTATTTGTACAACTGAGTCCCCTACTGGCTTGCCTTAAAAAGCAGGATCCAATCCACAGTAGCTTCCACAAATTTGGGAAGAATGACCCCTTTCAGGTGGAAAAAAAATTATTAAAAAATAAATAAAGGCGACATTTATCAGCGGGGACTGTGAAGAGGCTGTTCCCAGTCTAAGCTCACTGGGGCTCGGGGATAAGCCCAGGCTTAACTTTCAGCATGCACTTAAGTCTCATTAGGGTGCTTAAAGGTTTTCCTGACCACGGGGTGTGGAGCAGGGACGGCTGTGTCCCAAACCCAGGGACAACGGGGCCCTTATCCAGGCTGGGAGCTGGGAATGCCGAGGTAATATAAGAAAGCATAAATAATTAAACACAGAGCCTCACTCAGGCCCAGCGCTCCTACAAAGCCACATTTATAAGGAATTCATCCCGCTCCACAATTCCCTGTGCTGCTGGCACTGGGAAGAAAATCCTTGACCTGTCGCACTGGGAACTTGGAGTGAGGGAAGTGAGGGCTCGGGGAAGGTGACAGGCACCAGCTCGTTCCTCCTCTCTGCCAGCCACCCCTTCCAGGCTCTGGAAAATCATCCAAGGTTTAAATGGATTGAATTTTTTGGTGCTCTTCTGAGGAGCTGCCATGTTGAAAGGCTGTCCATGGGATATTGGATATTCCCACAACAGTGAAGCTCTAAGTCTGAGGGATGGATTTTTTGGGAGATTTGGATATACTTGACAGGAATCTGTTCCTCTCTTGCCTGTCCTGAGCTTCAGAAGAGACACAATTCCCATTCTTAATTATCTTGTGCTGACTTTGAGCTGCCAACCGAATAAAAATTACCCAGGAGAAAACAGTTATCCCTAAAAATCCCAACACGTGCATGGATGGATGGATGGATGGATGGATGGATGGATGGATGATGGATGGATGGATACATGGATGGATGGATGGTTGGATGGATGGATGGTTGGATGGATGGATGGATGGTGGATGGATGGATGGTGGATGGATGGATGAATGGTGGATGGATGGATGGATGGATGGATGGATGGATGGATGGATGGATGCATGGATACATGGATGGATGGATGATGGATGATGGATGGATGATGGATGGATGGATGGTGGATGGATGGATGGATGGATGGATGGATGGATGGATGGATGGATGAATGGATACATGGATGGATGGATGATGGATGGATGGATGGATGGGTGGATGGATGGATGGATGGATGGATGGATGGATGCCCTTCCCGACTCCAGCCCAGCCCCTGCCGTGCCGTGAGCGACTTGTACAGAATCCACATTGTATGCGCTGTGCATTTCCAGCCACACACACAGTGTGTACAATGCAGGTGCTATAAAGTCAGGAATCTCCCCAGCAGCCAGAAAATGGGAAAGATCTTCTGGCCACCCCACCCCCTCGAGGGCCTTTCCCATGTCCTTGTCTCAAAATGGAAAAATGAGAAAAATGGGTTTCATGCATGTGGAGTGAGGGAGTGACTTCTGGAATGGAGTTTACGAATAAAGTCCTTGTGTAGGTCTGGGAATTCTGGTCTCAATTCCCTGGGATTTAAAAGCTTCTCTGAGGAACAATGCCTGTGTTTTATGAGTCCCTCTGTGTCCCTTTTTCCTGATGTTTAATGGGAATAACAATAATACTTTTAAGGCCTCTGGTCCTGATTGGTACACATTTTTCAGGGCAGGATTATTCCTGCTTGGATTCAATGCAGAGCTCATCATCATGGATTTTTGGGGCACCTCCCACCATCCTTTTTATCTTTTCCAGGTGCCCCTGCAATCCCCAGTTTGCTGAAATCCAGGGCAGCCCAGGCATGTGTGTGAGAATTAACGCCGTGTGAAGGAGAAATGCCAATGGGATCAGCTTGGGTTTCCTGGCTATTGGTCATGGTTCCTAAACTTCCTTCAAAAAAACAGCTGCAGGGAGCTGGGAGTCTCCCAAGGGATTTATTGTTGCCCATAATGTCATTATTTATTTATTTTGGGTGGGTGCTGGCATGGAATGAATTCCTTTCCATCAGCAGGGTCTCCCTTGGAAGAAGGGAATTGAGGACTTTGATGGAGCTTGTGCCAGTGAGGATGTGGATTGAAAATACTGGACAGAAATCCGTGGAGACGACATCAAAGAATTGCTCTTTGTCCTGCTTTTCCAAGAAATAAGATGTTTCAGAGTGATTTTCGCTCCCTGTTTCTACCTTGGAGATTTCCAAGCAGGACAAATTCAATGCTGATTATTGCCAGAATATTCCAGTTTTGGGGGCAAGCCTGTCTTTTCTGTGGAATTCATCCCTGGTTCCCTGTCACTCATTGCTGCGGTGTGGGCAGGATCCAGTGCCCGCTGCAGGGAACTGGAATTTTTCCACTGTCTCCAGTGGCTCCTGGATTGGTTTGCCCTTTCCAGTGCCCAAAAATTATCCAAACAATCCGCCTGAGCGGGTGCCTGTGCGGACATTATCATCCCAATCCAAACAAAGCAATCCCCACTGCCACCGGAGGGATCGTGTGTTCTCATTCCAGAGGAATTTCCACGGGGCAGCCTCAGGCTCCTGGAAGCCCAGGGATGCTGGCTGTTGTGACAGGTGTGACTCCAGCCCTGTGGTCGCTCCGATAAAATGATTATTCCCTGGGAGAACTTGGGAGAGCTAACGAGAGCAATCCCTGCCTGTCCCAATTTTTTCCTTTGGTTTTGCTTGTTAAACACATGGCATTATTTTCCAGCTGCTTCCCTCTCCTCCCGAATTCCCTCTGGGGAATTGCTTCTTTAAGTCTGCTCTTTGCAGTTTAATGTTGTTTTTTGAGAGCGAGTTTTTACAGAGCCTGAAGGTTTGGATGAAGATGAGTTTATTTCTCTTTTCTAATTTAATTTAGTTGGGGTTTTGTTCATTTGCTTTAGCAAAGAGGTGCCATCCAAAGCCCTCTCCGGCCCTCAGCAGCTGAGATAAGAAATGCCAAATTCCCAAAATAGAATCCCAGAATGATCTGGGTGATGAGGGACCTTAAATCCCATCTCATTCCACCCCCTGCCAAGGGCAGGGACAACTTCCACTGTCCCAGGTTGCTCCAAGTCCCATCAAATATCTCTTAATTTGTTAATTTTCCCAAAATTTTTCCAGCCATCCAGGACCAGGCTTTTCCTGAGAGATGGATTCCCACTTTGGAATATTTCTGTATTTACACTTCCCATCATTATCATCTGGCAGCACCAGAAGTTTCTGACATATGGAGCAGTTGAACAGGAGTTTTGGAAGCAGCTCCTTCTCTGTATGCCATTTGGGAAGGAGAAAGGCTGGGGAAAGCCCTATCCTGGAGTATTGAATCCCAAAAATCTGCAATCCTTCATCAACTCAGTTCTGGGTTCCCTGCCTTGCTCCGAGCTCCACTGTTAAGGACAGCCACCAACTTTTTTCCATAAAAATCTCATTCTGGAATGGGGGTGGGGGTGGTGCAAACCTGAACCTTGCCCTAAAAATGCACTCAGGATGTGGCCAGGTAGATTTGGAGTGTGGAATTTGGGAAGTAGGGCTGTGCCAGGTAACCACAGCCCCCCTGGACAGGTTTTCCTGCTAATTCCTGTTTAAACCCACACCCCATTATCCTTCCTTACATCCTCAAGGATCATCGGAAACATTCCCTGTTCTCCTCCCAACCTCCAGACTCCGAGACAACTGTGGGCAGTTGTTTTATTGTCCCAGCACCTCGTAACTCCTGGGAAGCCAAAATTAAAGCCAGGAGTGAACAGAAATCCCATTCTCCTCTGAAATGTGCGTGCCCAGAACGTCTTCTCCTAATAAGCCCCTTCCCTGCACCCACATCCCGCCCCTTTCTCGTTACTCAGGGAAAAGATGCCCAAGTTGAAAGAAAAGGAAAATAAAAAACTCTTCCCCACAAATTGCAGGTTTCCAGTGGTGTTCCAAGGCTCAGGAGACCTCAAGGATTTGAACCAGCTGAGGTTTGAGGGAGGAAATCAGAGCCTGGGGCTCTCATTGGGAGCAGATGCTCAAAACCTCCCACAGATTTCTGCCCGTCCAGCTCAGCCCTGGTGTCTCAGCGGGAGATCCTGGGAAGAGGTGGGGATAAATCCCTGAAATTGGTTGTCTCATCCCAAATTTAGCCCTCACATTTCCTACCCTGGAAGGGTGGCAGAATGGGGGCAGTGGTGAGGCACCACCAGAGATTTGTGGCTGCTCCTGGATCCCTGGAAGTGTCCAAGGCCAGGCTGGATGGGGCTTGGAGCACCCTGGGATAACGGGAGGTGTCCCTGCCCATGGCAGGGGTGGCACTGAATGGGATTTGGGGTCCCTCCCAACCCCAACCCATCCTGGGATTCCCTGTCTCTTTGTGCTTCCTCTCCAAGCCTGGGCTGATCCTTCTGGAGAGCCTGGAAGAGCCGCAGTGAAAACACCACAATTCTGGAATGATAACACCACAATTCCAGAATGATAAAGGCTTCCCAGTGTTGGAATTCGAAACATAAGGAATTTTTAGAATTCTGAATTTGTAAGTCAAAGTTCAGAGTTAAACACAGGATTTGATTAAGACTTAAAAAAAAATTTAAATTTAGGTATTAAAAATAAAAATGTAGACTTATAGTTTGAAGACACCTTAAACTAAATAAAATAAAGTTTAGAATTTTAGAGTTTAAGATATAGAAAAAATAAAAGTAGTTATAGAAGTAAGCAAAAATATTAGAATATAGTATTATAAGTTTGTATATAATATAATTAAATAAGAAAGTTTATACTTTCTTATTTAATACAAGTATTACAAGAAAGTAATACAAGTCAAAATATTTAAAGATTAGGTTAAAATAGAAATATTTTTATTATTAGTGTTTTATTAATCAATAACTCCTTGAAAACTCTTATAATTAAAGGCCTTGTAATTTTTTTTTTAAAGTCCAATTTTTTAAAACTCAAAAATCCCATCTCTAACTTGTTCAAAACTCCCCCCAACAAAAAAAAAAAAAAAAAAAAAAAAAAAAAAAAATTATCACATCCCAGGATGGAATGCCTGTGCTTGCAGGAGTTGCTCATCCTGCCTCCATCCCCTCTCCCATATTTCTGTACATCCAGAATTTCCCTCAAGAACCACCTCCAGGAGGCTTTTCCAGGAGCAGCCATGACTTACCCCAGCCAAATAATGTGAATCCCCAGAGATATTTCTTCTCTGAGAAAAATGCCATGAAGATGAGGCTGTGGAGATAGAGCCCTTCCACCAGGATCCAGTAGTAATTGGTAGCCAGGAAGTAGAGGAAGAAGGTGACAGCTACTTTACAGCCCACCTGCAGCGACCACAGAAGGACAGAGAAGGAACACGGGGTGAAATTCTTGAGCTGGGCAAACACAATCAGGTGGGGTGGGGAACAAGGTGGAGAAGGGAATTAAATCGGAAAATTCTGTTTCAGGTTCTTTATGAGGGGGAAAACCTGTGGAAGAGCAGGAAAGACGAACTGTTGGGAAAAAACTCTTGAGCCAAAGATGATTTTTCCTGCAGAAGGTGAGTTGGGAAATAGAGAAAAAGAGATGATGGCCTGATCCTGCTCTCTCCCAACCCAGGGATGAGGGGCTCACACACTTCCTGGAGCGGTTAGGGTTCATCTTTCCCTGTATTTCATCTTTTCCCTGTGTTCTTTGTCCATGATGGAGACCAAAGAGCCTCGGCCAAGTTGTCCAGGTCTGGGTGTCCTGCTGAAGTCCCAGCGCTTGGAATTACAACTCCTTCCTCAGCTCATGGAGAGACCAAGGTGGAATGGAGTCACCCCATCCCATCATGGATGTCCACTGGATCCTCCAGGGTTGTTTGTCTGTCCTCAACAACTGAGAGGTGTTGCAGATGGCTCCAGCTGCCTTCGGAGCCAGGTGTTCCAAGGGCAAACAGGATCTGGAGGATTTTTCCTGGAAATCCCAAGGTGTCCCACTTGAGCTGCAAGGTGGGGGATCTGGGAGAGACTTCCAAGACATCGCGGAGTTAAAGCTGAGCTCTCATTCCACGCTGAGCTGAAATTTTTTAATTTTTTTGGGAGCAAAACCCTGATTGTGGCCCAACATTCCCTTTGGACAAAGCCATCCTTCTTCCCAATTTCTCAGCTCCAGTAGGGAAAGGCTGCAAAATATTGGTGCCACTTTGGGATTAATCAGTACAAAGCCAGCTCTTGTCAATGTGGATATCCTTGGAGTCTGGGAAGTTGGATTTCCCAGGAATTCTGTGGCTGCCACATCCCTTGGTCCATCTTTGTGCTGTCCCTTCCTTTAAGAGGAATACAAAGGACTGACAGAAAATGCCAATAATAATAATACCTTGGAAATAAAAAGACAATTTTTTTTATCCTGCTGCAGCTCTTTTGCTAATTTTTTGTTCATCAATATATACATCTATACATATATTTGCATATTGATAAGATATGCTCACATTACATTCATTGTCTTTCATAGACAGAGGGAGTTAAAATAGATTAATTAAAAATCTCCTTAAATTAGTTAATTTTTTAATATTTATTAAAATAATCCTCATCTAGGTTTGATAATATTTTCCATATTTATTTTTTGTATTTATTGCCGCATGCAGGGAATGTGAGGCGCTAATTGCAAAGTTCCCACTTCATTTGGAAACAAAAGAAATCCATTAATTGTTGCCTTCATCGCTTGTTTGCCTTGCAGTTCCGAAGAGTGGGGAATGCCATTAAATGTTAATATCCAAAGAATGCCATATATTATCCTAATTATTCCTTATAATGAGCTCAGCAAGAGGAGAAACACCAAACAATGCAGTGAAACATTTTGTGTTCTTTCCAAAAAAAATGAGAGTTTTGGAGCGTGTTGAGTGAGAATCTGTAAATTAATGACACGGATCTCCGGGATGGAAAGGGAACACAATGACAAAGTTCCAGTTGGGACACTTGGATGCACAGTGGGACATTCCCAAATCCTCTGATTTTTCACAGGGTGTCGCTGGTCCCTGGTTGTAGCACAAGCTGGGAAAGATTTGAGAAGCCAAGCAAATCCACAGCAGGAAGCTGATCTCAGAATCCTTGAGGTTGGAAAAGACCTCCATGACCATCGAGTCCAAGCTGTGCCTGATCACCACCACAGCACCAAGTGCCACATCCAGGAATTCCTTGGACACCTCCAGGGTGGGGACTTCAAACATCCCTGGGCAGTTTCCAAGGCCCGAGCACCCTTTCCATGGGGAAATTCCTGCTTTGGCCCAGCCTGAGGCCGTTCCCTCTCCTCCTGTCCCTGTTCCCTGGAGCAGAGCCCGACCCCCCCGGCTGTCCCCTCCCTTCAGGGAGCTGTGGGAAGTGAGAAGGTGAGAAGGGTCTGGGAAGCACACAGAGTCCAGATCCTTTGGGAACCCCATCTTTTTTGGCAGCTTGGGAAGTGGGACTTGTGTTCCCTGAGGTGGGGAGGTGGGATTTTCCCAAGGGATTTATGGTGGAGTTGGGTTCATCCCATACCTGGGAGTTTCACGGTATTTTCATCCCAAAGGAACCCCGAGAAGGTGAGAAGGATCTGGGAAGCACACAGAGCCCAGATCCTTTTGGAATCCCGTCTTTTTTCCCACTTGGGAAGTGGGACTTGTGTTCCCCGAGGTGGGGAGGTGGGATTTTCCCAAGGGATTTATGGTGGAGTTGGGTTCATCCCATACCTGGGAGTTTCACGGTATTTTCATCCCAAAGGAACCCAAAGCACTTTACAACCTCCTGGGTTTCCATGGGAAATCCGGGATGGGTCCAATGACAAGGAGAGCCAAGAGCTTCGGAATGTGGGAAATGAGAGGATCATCCCACCCAAGCACATGGACAGTGCAGATATTGCCATCAGAGACTTCTATACAGTGACATCCGCATGGAATTTTGGAGAAGAGTCCAACTGACCTCACTTCCATTTTCATTTTGGGATGTTGACTCGTCTGCCTGGGTTGACTGCATTGACTCAACCCAACCATAAAGGGAGCCTGAGGTTCAGGTTGGACACCAGCAGGAATTTCCCCATGGAAAGGGTGCTCAGGCCTTGGAAGAGGCTGCTGGAGAGGTTTGGAGTGCCCATCCCTGGAGGTATCCAAGGAATTCCTGGATGTGGCACTCAGGGCTCTGGGCTGGGGTTGGGGACAAGGCTGGGATTGGGGACTCACCAGCAATTCCAAGGTTGGATGACCTTGGAATTCTTTTCCAAGTCAATGATTCTGTCCGAGGTCTCTCTCACAGACACCACCTCCTTTTTGCAGATGAGCCCTACCCTTTCCTATGACACCACATCCTCCCTGCACTTTCCCTTCCAAAATGTCTTTTTCTCCATATAGGAGGGAGAAAAGTTGTGCATTTCCCATCCATGGAAATGTTGTGAGCCAAGCTGGATGTGCCTTGTGCTGGGATGGTCAGGAATGTTTCCACAGCTGTAAATTCCAGGGGGTATCAAGGAAATGTAAATGGGAATCAAACCATCAACCCAGACTGCCATGGAAGCAGCTTTTCCTTAGCTCAGGAACTGGGAATCCCTCTGAACCAATGGACTGAGAATCGGAAAGGATGGGGAGAGGCTGTGAAAGACGAGTAGGATGGAAAATTCCCCAAAAGAATGTAAGTGTTGAGCAGAGAGGACAAAGACACGAATCCTGGAAAACCACTGCTCAGGGAATACTCACAAACTGCGATTTATCCGCTGGAGGTGCTTCCGTGATGGATTTCAAGTCCTCCTCGGAGATCCGCTCCATCTCCTCCAGGGCTGACCCGGAGTACAGGACTGCGTCCTTCACGAAGATGCTGACGGCCCTCAGCATGAAGGACACAAACAGGTGCATGTGGATGTAGTTCCTAGTGCAGTGCAAACGTCTGGAAGAGGAGAAGAAGGATTGGGAAGTTTAGTCCAGCTGTTGGATGGAGCCAGGGCCACTTCTGGCTCTGGAGAGCCCCAGCTCCTCCCCCTGGCACTGTGCCCCCATGGGGAGCAGAGTGAGGGTCATGGCTCCCTGCTCTCCCATGGGGCTGGGAAATGGATTAATACCTTCTCCAGGGGCTTCAGGGAATCATGGAATGGTTTGGGATGGATGGGACTTCAAGCCCATCCAATCCCACCACCTGCCATGGACAGGAACACCTCCCACTATCCCAGGGTGCTCCAAGCCCCATCCAACCTGGCCTTGGACACTTCCAGGGATCCAGGGACAGCCACAGCATCTCTGGGCACCCTGTGTCTGGGCCTCCCAATCCTGCCAGGCAGGAATTCCTTCCTAAAATCTGCCCTCTGTCAGTGGGAAGCCATTCCCCCTCTCCTATCCAATCCTGCCCTTGGATTCCAGAGGCTCCAGAACTTGGGGCCACTGGAAACCTCTCAGAACTTCCTGTAAACCATTAACCAGGAATTCCTTCCTAAAATCTGCTCTAACCCTGCCCTCTGTCAGTGGGCAGCCATTCCCCCTCTCCTATCCAATCCTGCCCTTGGATTCCAGAGGCTCCAGAACTTGGGGCCACTGGAAACCTCTCAGAATTTCCTGTAAATCATTAATTTTTTTTCCCAGCTCAGTTTAGGAGCAACTCCAGCAGTAACTTGGGTGTGCTGGGCTGCTGTCCCTGTTTTCCTGCTGTAAATGTCATCCTTTGGAGCAGTTTGTGGGCTTCACCCCAGCAATGGCAGCAGTGACCCCACAAATCCCGGTTGTAAAGCGCTTTGAGGTCCTTTTTGGAGGAAAAGCTTTTTTGGGGATGGTGAGATGTGAATGGGTCAGAACCAAGAAGAAGAGGTCTATTTTGGAATCAGGAATCAGGATTTAGGGAAGAAGGAACCAACCTCTTGGGGTCCCCTCTGTCCTCTTGAGCTCTGGTGTCATGACTGCATTTATGAATGGATTTATATTCCCATTAAATCCCAATAATCTGCATTAATTAAAGGCTGTGTTTTTATCCCTTTTGCAGGATGTTATGATAACAACACCAGTTGTTCTCTGCGCTTTTATAATCCAAATTACTCCAAGTGGAACTGATTAAGTTTATTAAATGAGGATTGGCTTTGCTCCCTGCATTTGAAAAGGAGTCAATGAATCTCTGGATTATCGAGGATAAAATCTGGCTTGATCCCTACTGCTGCTCTGATCCTTGGAATAAAGATGCTCCAGCACACTTGCCCAAGTGGTCTGGGCTGGAAATGAAGTGGGATAAAGATATGGATAAAGGAAAACCAGGAATTCTCTTGCACACATGGACACAGAATATTTTAACAACCTTGCCAGTGTCCAGTGGGAAATGAAGTGGAGGGAAAAGGTTGGGAGAACAGGAGTATGGTGTAGGAATGGGGTCTGCGGAGCCCTTTGGATTTGGTCTGTCATGGATTTGGGATTTGCTGTCCAAGTAAACCCCCCTGACACCTTTTGCTGTCTGCTGAGAGCTCTGAGCACTTTCAGAGCCCAAAGCCACACATTTCATTCCCAATGTTCCATGTCCAGGGCTTGGCTCAAGTTTCCCAAATCCCTCTGCAGAGACCATGTGGCTGTTTTGGGTCACACCAGCTCTTGTCCAGGTCTTGCTGGCTTTTTTTAGGAGAAGACATGAGCAGACAGAGAAGGGAAGCAAATCTGGGGCTCAGGGTTTGGGGACACCCTGCTCTATGGGGTCACCAGATAGAACATTTCCAAAGGACAAATCCCTGGATATGGGTGACACCTTTCATCCCTCCCATCCCATGCTGTCTGTGCCAGCAAGAATCCAGGAATCCCAGAATGGTTTGGGCTGGAAGGGACCTTAAATATCATCCCATTCCAACCCTGACACCTTCTACTATTCCAGGCTGCTCCAAGACCTGTCCAACCTGGCCTTGGACACTTCCAGGGATTAAGCTGTGACAGTGGATTGAGGAATGGATAACGAGGGCTCAAAGTGGCATTTAGGGGTCTAAATTCCTTGACAGGGATGGTGGGAAGGGAGGGGACACGATGGAGTCAGGAAGGTAGTTTTTGGATCCCTGGGAAGAGCAGCAGTGTGGGGAGATTGGAGGAATCAGCCTGGGAGTTTTCCATGCCTTTCAACTGGTTTATCCTTCACGAACATTTGGACTTAAAGTGGGATTTCCCTCAGGGAATCTTATTTCTCTGCAAATCAGCCATCTAAAGCTAAGCCAGTCACCTGCAGGGATAATAGGGACAGAAAATCCTGGAGAGTCTTCCAAGGAATTCCTGGAGACGCCCTTCTTCCCATTTGCTACAAAGAGGGCCTGGAAAACTCCACCTGAGGGAAGCGGAAGGAGTTCCAACATCCCACCCACCATCCCCCAGGAAGTTTGCCCTGGGATACCCTAACACAGCCCAAATCACAGATGCCACCACCACTGGTGGCTTCCTGAACTGCGCCACCCCAATTTTATCCTTCCGGAAAAACCCGCGGCTTTTCCGGCGTCGCTTAGGTAAAAACAGAGCCGCCTACCTGAAGTATCCCAGGATAAGGACAGCAACTGTGAGGGATCCCAGGGAGATGGAGTATCCAACAGTATAAATCAAATAGAGGCGATCAAAGACCTCCTGCAGCAGAAATGATGGAGAAAACAGCGTCACATGGGGAACGCGGCCCTACTGCACCACACAACCCTGGCAGCACACAGAGCCCGGATCCTTCGGGAATCCCATCTTTTTGGCAGCTTAGGAAGCGGGGCTTGTGTTCCCTGAGGTGGAGAGGTGGGATTTTCCCAAGGGATTCAGGATGGAGTGGGGTTGGTCCCATATCTGGGAGTTTCGCGGCATTTTCATCCCAAAGGAACCCAAAGCGCTTTACAAACTCCTGGCCCAGTTCAGGGGTCACTTGGGAATTTTCACCTGGACAAAATGCCTGCTGAGCTGGGAATTTGGCAAGGGATTAATGATGGAGTGGGGTTAATACCATGCCTGGGAACTTCACAGCATTTTCATCCCAAAGGGACCCAAAGCACTTTACAAACCCTTGGCCCAGTCCAGGGATCACTTGGGAATTTTCACCTGGACAAAAAAGCCTGCTGAGCTGGGAATTTTGCTGGAATTGCACAATTTAGCTGTTGCTGGATGACTGATGTCCAGCCTGGGGGAGCATAAGCCACACCAGAAAACACAGGAAGGAAATACTTTGGCTATGGGATATGAGGAAAAAAATCACCTGCATTTATTTTTCCCTTTTTAAAATCCCAAGCAACCTCTGCCTGTGGTTATCCAATCCAGACACAACCTGAGCTTGCCAAAATCCCATTGGAAAAGGCTCTGTCACAGAAGAATTCTTAATAATTAATCATTTAGCAAATTTTAGGTTGTTATTTTCCAGCGCTGGCCTTGAAACCCTGAGGTTTCCATTAAATATCGGGATATTTTCCTTGATCCTGCAGCTGAACTCAGGGATTCCTGGAAAGGGTTAAAATGCCTGCCCCCATCCCAGCCTGTTCTGCCTTTCCCAGACTGACTTTAGCAAAAAATCCAAAAAAACCCAGCCAAATCAGCATCTTTCTCCTCATTCCCTCCTTTCCCTCGCCCTGCCCACGGGGCTGCAGTAACGTCAGGAATGTTGGGCTCTGAATGACAGCTCTGATTGGGATTTGAGGCTTGGAACGCTGTCCTGGAATGCCAAACCTCAGCCCTATTACATCAGAATCCACAGATTTGGGAATGTTTCTCTGCGGTTTGCACTGGAGGAGCGAAGCCCTTGCCAATATTAATTTACTGAGTGTGTCTGTGCGTATTTATGGGATATTTTTATAGATTTTTATAGATCTGTCTGTGCAGGCAGCAGGCCCTGAAAAGCCAAGAAGAAGAGATTTCAAAGCTTTCAGGGAAAAATATCCTGGTGTGATTTTCCTGCTGCCAAGCTGGAATCCTTTTGGAGCTGGAAAACATTTGACTCCATAGTAAAAATTGAAATAATAATAATAATAATAGTAATTAATAATAATAGTAATAATAATCTTACTCCAAGGTTGGAATTTTCAGTAAAATAAAAGTTGTGAGGCCTTAACAAAACATCCCTGAGCCCCATTCAGAAATTTCACTGGGAAGATCCATGTTCCTATGGGCGGAATGTCCTTGGGAAGAGCTTCTGGATTGGCAGGAGGTTTTGGAAAGTTGAGTGCTCTGATTGACCACAGGGCCTCTCTTTGAAAGGAGGTTGAGCACCAAGAGCCAAGACACAGAAAGTTTATCCTGGAGCCCTCCTTGGAGGAGGAGGTGCCCCAAATCCTACCTGGAGTCACTCTGGAATGCCCCTGGGAAAATGATTTTGTGGAGGGGGTACTCAGATCCTTGGGAAAACCCTTTGGAGCAAAAAATTGAGCTTCTCCACTTCACTTCTCCCTCACTTGGAGCTCAGGGCTGGTAGTTTCCAGGAGCTTTTCCTCCCTGGATTTACCCATGAGGGGACAAAATCTCCAAAGGGGTTCCATGTCTCCCAAGGGAGGTCCTGTCTCCATGAAAACCACAACGAACAACCAGGAAAGATCATCCAGATATGAAAATACTGAATGATCTGCCAGCTGCAACGACGATCTCCGTGGTCTGAGGAGCATCCTTAGGGAGCTGATATGGGTGGGAAGTTAAATAATTCCCAGAAAATCACAAAGGCTGTGATGGCCGAGCCATGGACACAACCTGGAGATCCATCACTCCAGGAAGTTCTCTGGAAGTCTTCTGGAAGTCCACCCTGAGGAGAGACTGACCATCCCTGGTCATCCCTTTTTGGAAGAGGCCAAACCTGGCCTTGCCATGAGATCCTGGTCTATAAAGTGTGATAACTAAACCAACGTGATTCAATTTAATTCTAATTTAATCTGAATATTCAGGGCTTTGAGCAACCTCGGCTCGTGGAGGTGTCACTGCCCATGACACAGAGTTGGAACTGGCTGGAATTCAAGGTCTCTTCCAACCCCAATCAGTTCAGGATTCCAGGATTCCCTGAACTAACTTTGAGCAACCTGGGCTCGTGGAGGTGTCACTGCCCATGACAGAGTTGGAACTGGCTGGAATTCAAGGTCTCTTCCAACCCCAATCAGTTCAGGATTCCAGGATTCCCTGAACTAGATTCCTGCAGGAACCCTCCACTCTTTCAACTGTTGCCACGTGTGCAAAAGGAAAAGGAAAACCAGACAAAGCAGGAATTTTCGGGTGGCAAATCCTATCCTGAGTTTCATGGAGCTGTGCCCTGTATCCAAATTTTTCCTTTCATCCTTTTTATTCCCCTTTAGCAAGACACCAGCAGCACTCGGGCTGTGAAGCTGGGAGGGATCCAGTGTTCTTTGAGGAATGGGAAGGCTGTGAAGGGTGGGATCAACAGCACAGGGGCTGGAAGGAAAAATAAGGATTTTCCAGATGGAATTTCTGCAAATTTTTCCTGAGCTGCTGATTCAGATGTCGTTAAGGACACATTTGGAATTGGGGGTGTGCTTCTTTGAGTGATAAACAAAGCCAGAAAATCTCTGTCCTTACTTTTCTTGCATTTTTTTTTACAGGAAAATGAGGCTAAACAAAAAGCTAAATGGAATATTCACAAAATGGGATATTCACAAAACGAGATATTTGCAAAAGGCACAGAACAGGCACTGATTTCCAAAGCCTCAGGGAAAACTTTGAGTGTTGGTGGCCCTGTTCCTGCAGGACTCTGTTCCCCTCATCCACAGACATTCCAGGCTCTTAAATCCTCCCAATCTGGAGGGTGACTGGGATAAGCTCTCACAAAAGACCCCCAATTTAGCCTCAGACACTCCAATTTACTGTCAGACACCCCAATTTAGACACGCATGCTCATAAAAATAATCTTTAAGCTCCTTTCCAACCCAAACCATTCCAGGATTCTCAGATTCTATTTCCAGGAATGCACCAGACCAAATCCATAGGCATGGAATGAGGATGGCACCTCAGGGTTAATTAAAATTGTGAACAAAACATCACCCAGATAATTTTTTTTTTTATTATTCCTCCACAGACTTTAAAACCTCTGCCCATGTCCTGACACTTTGCTGACATTCCTTTGTGGAAATTGGGGATAAAACAATCCAAACCCATTCCTGTGCCGTCACTTTGAGGCTCCACAAAGTTGTTTGTTTTTCCCAGGACCCCAGAGAGCTCCAGGACTGCTGCTTGGAACAATGGGGTTTAGATAAAGCAGCCCTGCAACACGCTGGGCCCTTCCCATTGTGTTTGGAAGGGGACGGATTCTCCAGGCCCCTCCAAATTCCCAGGAAGCCGTAAAACCCTCACGCTACAAACAAGCAGGAGCAGATGAAGACAGGATTGGGGTTGGATCTGAGGATGGCCCATCCTGCTGGTGGTGGTTCCCAAGCTGAGCCAACCTCCCAAGTTGCTGGCTCTGACTCCCCTTCCGCTGGATTTTGGGAGGTGGAGATCCCATTCACCCTTCAGCTCACCCTTGGAAAGAGGATGGGTTTGACCTGCTTTCAAATCAGCTGTGTTTGGCATCCCTGTTCTTTTGGGGGAGAAGGGGGTGGGGGAAATTCCTGTTTTTTTGACCCAAACATCCCATTGCTGCTGCCACTGTTGGAAAAAGTGACCAGAAAAATGATCCTGCTGCTGGATATGTGGAAGGTAAGGGATCCACAGTCAGTGGTTGTATGGAATTTGGGGAGAAATGGGCTAGAAAGCTGCCTGAGGTTCATCACTCATCATTTGTGTTGCATTTTATCCAAAGATTCTGGAGCTCCAGGAATACAGGTCACCCTCCCTCCTGGTTTTAAGGGAATTCGGGGAACAAAAGTCCTTTTAACTCTGCTGCCCGTCTCCTTCATGGCCAGGAAGGTGTGCTTAGGGAAGAGTGTGGGAAGAGAACAAATCCACAATAAATATGAGCTGCTGAAGCAAATCCAGAGGAGGTCACAGAGCTGCTCCAGGGCTGGAGCCCCTCTGCTCTGGAGCCAGACTGGAAAAGCTGGGAATGTTCACCTGGAGAAGAGAAGGATCCAGGGAGAGCTCAGAGCCCCTGGCAGGGCCTGAAGGGGCTCCAGGAGAGCTGGAGAGGGACTGGGGGCAAGGCATGGAGGGACAGGACACAGGGATTGGGTTCAAATTGAAAGAGATGGGATACAGGGAAGGAATTCCTGGCTGGGAGGGTGGGGAGGCATGGGAATGGAATTGCCAGAGCAGCTGTGGCTGCCCCTGGATCCCTGGAAGTGCCCAAGGCCAGGCTGGACAGGACTTGGAGCAGCCTGGGACAGTGGGAGGTGTCCCTGCCATGAGGGACAAGACCCCCCAGTGCCACCCCTGCCATGGCAGGGACACCTCCCACTATCCCAGGCTGCTCCAAACCCCATCTAGCCTGGTCTTGGACACTTCCAGCTGATTGTTCACTCCCTCTTTAACGTTATCTGGAAGGAATTTGAGGGAACACTTCCCTGGATGGCTTCATCCTACCTGTCTAAAGGAGGAATCAACCTCCAGGGCTGTCAGTTCCCATCCTCCAGTGGTAATTTTCCCCAAGGAAGCAGCCCAGGAGCAGTTGCTCCCCGGGCAGTTACGAGCTGTTAATTCTGCAGGCTCTGATGGCTTTAACACACTTTGCTCTTTGCAGAGAGCGGTTTCCGAGCTGCTCTGTGTGAAATAATCCCCATTTATTCGGGACAGGACACCAGCTTGCTCTGGGGCCCTCTGTTTGCTGCTTTGGCCAGTCTTAAAATTATCCCAGCATGGCTAAAATGGGAAAACTCCCCACCTAAACAAACATCCCTGGCTGGAGATGTGCACACACACATGGTGTTTATTTAGGTGTGGATATCTCCAGCTATCTATAGGTTCAGGCCTATTTCCAGAGATAGCCAGCAAATCCATATATTTATAGCCACAGACAGTTGGTTTTGTTGTTTTTTTTTTCCTAAAAGCCTAGTTTCTTAAAATTCCCTCTGGTTGCATCTGCTTGGAGTCAGCCACGATCTCCTGGCAAAACCTTGGGTAAATGCAGCTGTTGGTGGTGACGCAAAGATGCTGCTCCCCAGGGAGGGAAATAATAATAGAAAACCATCTCTCGCTCAAGACAACGGCTCAATGTGGCCAAATTCCCCTGTTCTGACATCTCTGGACATATTTACTCCATGAAAAAGAGATATCAAAGGAAGGTTTATTAATCCCAGGGCTGCAGTGCCACATTTAATGTGACAAGAGGCCTTGTGTGCTCTCCGCGAGTAAAGGCACCAGCACACTGAGGGAAAAAGTGCATTTTTTTCCTCCTCTTTTATTTCTAGAGTGGTTTTCATACCCCAAGGCCCAAGAGACCTGCAGAGAATGCACAGATAGTGCTTCATTTGTCACCAGAATTCAGCCACCTCTGTGATAAAATCAGGGAATTCCATGACAAGGCACAGAATCGCTGAGGGCAGGGCAGGACTGAGAAGACCTCTTGCAAATAAAAGGCTAATAATAATAATAGTAATAATAATATTATTATTAAAATCAATAAAGAGATGTTGTTGAAAATATACTCCATGAAAAAAAGAAATCAAAGGAAGGTTTATTAATCCCAGGGCTGCAGTGCCACATTTAATGTGACAAGAGGCCTTGTGTGCTTTCTGTGAGTAAAGGCTTCAACACACTGAGGGAAAAAGTGCATTTTTTTCCTCCTCTTTTATATCCAGAGTGGTTTTCATACCCGAAGGCCTAAGAGACCTGGGTGGATGCACTTTACTTGTCACAATAACTCAGCCTCTGTGATAAAATCAAGGAACTCTGTGACAAGGCACAGAATTGCTGAGGTGAGGCCAGGCCTGAGGAACAGAACTCTTGCAAATATAAAGTTAACAATTTTACTAAGAATAAAAATTGATAAATAGATGTCATTAAAAAGCATTTTTTGATCAAGATACAATTTCAAATCTGGCAGAAACATCAATTTTTTTCTGCATTCTTTGCCCTGGGTAAGTACCACTTAAGTAAGATCAGCCTGGTCATTTAATCTGAACAGTGATGGTGGTTTAATTTGTCTTAATATGAAATATTATTCCATTCACCTTGGTAGATATGACAGAAAATTCCTGGCAAAAGATGCCTCAGCTTTGGCTACAGGATAATGAGGATTTTGGGATGGGTTATTAAAACAGCTCCTTAAGGGAGAGCTCATGAGGAGCAGTAATTTTCCAAGAGGCTGAGAATAAAAATGAAGTGACACCTCCTGTAAATGTCTCTGCTGGGAAGCACAGCCTGAGTTCCCTGTGCTGTGACCCCCCTGTTGTTGGAGCCCTGGCTGCTGAGAATTTCAGACTTCCTGTGCTGCCAGGCACTGACCCCCAAGAGAACACTGCATTGACCTGAGGCCGTGGAGAAGCTTCCAAAATGGAATGACAGAACTGGGATTGTGGGTGTGCAGTTTGAATAGAAGTGTGTGATATCACAGGGTGGAAAACCTATAGTTTAAGGGTTTAGAATATAGAAATATAGATAAAGCAAGATGGAGGTTTTGGGGTGGAGGCTGCTCCTTCTTGTTGTTCTTGTTATTCTTGTTGTTGTTGTACTTCTTCTTCTTCTTCTTCTTCTTCTTCTTCTTCTTCTTCTTCTTCTTCTTCTTCTTCTTCTTCTTCTTCTTCTTCTTCTTCTTCTTCTTCTTCTTCTTCTTCTTCTTCTTCTTCTTCTTCTTCTTCTTCTTCTTCTTCTTCTTCTTCTTCTTCTTCTTCTTCTTCTTCTTCTTCTTCTTCTTCTTCTTCTTCTTCTTCTTCTCCTTCTTCTTCTTCACCTTCTTCTCCACGGGTTTGGGTGGTTTTGTGTAATTGGATAAAAAAGTCCCCATTACCACCATGGGTAGTTGGTTATTGGGTTAAAAGTGAAAATAATTGAGGTGTCACTTCTTAATTGGACAGTTGATCCTTCAAAGGCCTTGCAGAGAGAGAGATGGGGCTCCATTTTTAGTTTGTCAGAGTGCAGTGCTGCAGAACTCGGGGTTTGTGAGACTGTGACAGAGATAAGAACTGATAAACATCTGAATCCAAACTAGAAACACCGTCTCACATGTTCAATCCTGACTCTGGCAAAAAGAAGCAAAGACTCCTCACCCTGTGACCACTCAGGGGACACAGACAAAGTCAGGCACATCAAACCCACCACAGGTTTTAAATCACCCTCAGCCCTTTAAATCACCCTGGACGTGGAAAGTCTCTATTTCTTCCTTGTGGTGAAAAAAAAAAATAAAATATGGGCAACTCTTGTTCTTTGTGCCCTTCCTTTAGTAAGTCGCCCTGACAAGTCCTGCCAGTTGGAGGTTAAAAAGGAAGGATGTCCTTTCCCAGGAAGAACTCTTGGAAATCAGCTGGACAATTCCCACCCAGGGTGAGCCTGAGGGTAGTGGGACAGAGGAGATGATTTCAGAGAGGTGAGAAGTTTGTGCATTGATCAAGGTGCTCCATGACCCCAACACCTGCTTTAGGACCTTCCTGGAAAACTCCAGGGCTAAAAGAGTTCTTTCCACTATGAACTGGGAAAAGTCCCACCAAACTGGTTCTGGAAGAGAACGTCATCCAGGCCTTTGCTGGAGTGGTTGGAGCAGCACCCAGGGCACACAACCTTCTGCTCCTTGTCCACACGAAAGAAAACATTCAGCAGCTCAAAGAATGCATCTCCTCCTTTCCCTCATTTCCTTGTTTTGTAAAATCACTTCATTCATGAGTTGCTTCACTCTTAAGGAGAAAAAAAGCAACAACAACAACAAAAAGCAACAACAATAAAATCCCCAACCAAAACCAAAAGAAAAACTAACCAACCAACAACAAAAAACAAACAAACAAGCCAACAACAACAACAACAAAAAAACAACCAAACAAACAAACAAAAAAACCCAACTCCAAAAAACCCTTCTCAGTGGTTAAATTTAAAATTAAGGACATTGTCCCGAAGGGCCCCTGGAACATCCTCAAGGAAGCTGTGGTTAGATCCTTATCTCCAGCTCTCTGGGATAATTCTCCCTGCAGCTGATCAGTCCCTGATGCCATGTCCCGTGTCCAAGGGGACTCTTCCAAAAACCACTGGAAAACCAGAGGGTTTGGGTAAATTCTTTGGGAATTACAGGTGCATGTGGGTGGGAACGTCATTCTCTGTGGGACAAGGAGGTCACATCCTCCCAAGAGACACTAGGGACAGCTTTGCTGTCACCTTAGCACGGAATTCGTTCCAGACTTCCAGCATTACAGGGCTCCAGGCTGGCTCATGGGGAGGAAGGAAATTTCTAGCATCTACTTATTTATCATTTTCTGAATTTCTGTAAATTTATGGCTCACGGATTTATGATTTTTTTTTTTTCCAGGACCACACAGACCCTCTCCATATTTTAAACCCTTTTCCAACTTTGGACTGGTGTCACTGTTTCCAAATTGTGACTATACCAGAATTAATTCAAGATCATGGAATATCAGTTAAGTTTGAGTAGGAAGGGATCTTAAGGGTCATCCCATTCCCACTCCCTGTTATGGGCAGGGACATCTCTCACCGTCTCAGGCTGCTCCAGCCTGGCCTTGGACACTGCCAGGGATCCAAGGGCAGCCATTGCTTCTCTGGCTGTGCCAGGGCTTCCCTACCCCTTCAGCCAGGAATTCCTTCCCAATATCCCATCAGAATCTACTTCCTTCAGCTCAAAATCATTCCCTGTGTCCTGTCCCTCTATGCCTTGTCCCCAGTCCCTGTCCAGCTCTCCTGGATCCTCTTTAGTCCCTGGAAGGGGATCTGAGATCTCCCTGGAGCCTTCCCTTCTCCAGGCTGGACACTCCCAGCTCTCCCAACCAGTCGCTCTGGGTTTGATTCCTCATCTGTTTGGACATCCCCTCCCAGAGACAGCCACATAAACATTGGAATTTTTGATAACAACCTGGCAGCAAAATGATTTCCTGCTGTGGCAGAGGGCGTCTCAATGCCATGGAACAATCTCCAACCACTTCTGAGCACCCCCAAAACCACTCCAATTTTCCCCAAGATCTCTTCAGGAATGGGATCATGGCAGCTGCAGGAAATTTTTCTGCCTTTGAGGACAATTTTCCAATCAAATCATTGCCCATCAAAGTATGATGTGGCTTTGGCAAACTCAGGAAAGTTTTCCAACAGGAGGAAGATGAGCTGGAGCTCATCCGGGCTTTTAAATGACACAGAGGTCCGTGGGTTAGCCCGGCACGATGCCAGAAATTCCTGCTGTGTGCAGGAATGGGAATGCCTACCCTTTCCCTCGTCTCGTTGGTGAGGAACTTGGCGCACTCGCTGTAGTTGGCCCAGGTGCGGTTGTTGCCCGGGACCAGCTCCCAGCTCCCGTTCAGGTCACACCGGCGATAAGCGTGGCCTGCCGAGAGAGAGGAGACATGGAATCAGTGGGAAAATGGCAGGATATTCATCCCAAACTCATCCCAAACTCATCCCAAATTCATCCCTGCCGAGAGAGAGGAGACATGGAATCAGCGGGATAGTGGCAGGAAATTCATCCCGAATTCATCCCTGCCGAGAGAGGAGACATGGAATGAGCAGGAAAATGGCAGGAAATTCATCCCAAATTCATCCCAAACTCATCCCTGCCAAGAGAGAGGAGACATGGAATGAGCAGGAAAAGGGCAGAAAATTCATCCCAAATTCATCCCTGCCAAAAGAGAGGAGACACGGAATGAGCAGGAAAACAGCAGAAAATTCATCCCAAATTCATCCCTGCCGAGAGAGAGGAGACAGAGAATGAGCAGGAAAAGGGCAGGAAATTCATCCCAAACTCATCCCTGCCAAGAGAGAGGAGACATGGAATGAGCAGGAAAATTGTAGGAAATTCATCCCCAAGTGGAGCCTGTTATAGATACATGTTATATTATTGGCTTTTTGCAACTATTAAAATGGATTCTGTATGTGTGGTGCTAAAGCAACTTTGTTATAAAGATACAGCTTTTATTTCTGCTGTTAATTAAGCTCAGTGAAGCAGCTGATATCAGTGTGCTTGTGTTAAATGCCTGCTGGGATGGGATAACACCCAATGGACACAGGATGGGCACACCAGTACGGATCTGCCAGCCAGCAGCACTCACCCTCTGAAGGCAGCGTGGACCAGGGCCCAAAAACTGATAATGATAAAAAAGGACTAAAAGCACAACCAAGGAATGTGCATCCTCTAAAAAGGCTGATCCAAGGAGGAGCTGTGCTAAACAATTCTTGGAATTGTAAACTAGTAAATGTAAATTGTAAACTAGTAATGTAAACTACTTTGAGGAAAAGTTTATTATGCATAAGGGTCTATAAATATGCAACTGGCTGATGTAATGAAGAGGTATTTAAGGGGTATCCCTGAAGGTAACAGGGTGCTCTTGGCTGAGAGCCAACATGCACCCGGCCATAATAACCTCTGCTCTGTGGTTCTTGTCTCCTGTTGTCCTTCATCAAACTTTTTTACATTTTCACAGGAGGGTGATCATGTTTTTCACAAGCCCATCCATGCTGAGCCCCATGTGTGCTTGGAAGCTGGGTTGCTAAAAAACCAACTTCCATCTCCACCTCAATTTATCAATTTTTTAGCTGAGAAACACCACAGAGCCTTTTAGTTGCTCTCAGTGAAGTTCAGATGTTGGGTCTGCAAAGCAAGGAGAAAAGACCTGGAAAACCACAAAGCCCAGAATTACCCTCGGAATTTCTTGCATCTCTCCCTATGAAATAAATTTAAAAAAAAGGTGATTTGTACTATTTTGCTCTTTGTTTGCTAGTTCAGGTCATGTCAAGGGGTCTTTTGTCACCCTGCCCTCCTTGTGGGGATGCAGAAGGAAAGGAATGCCAGGTTTCATCCTTGAGTTCGGCTGGCAGAGGAGAATATCCGTGTTCAGATGTCCGTGTGGGAATTGCGGCAGCAGGCATGTGTTAAAATCACCTCACAGAAAACAGGGATTAATCCCACAGATCCTGGGACTACAGAGGGAGAACAGAGAGCCTAGGGAAAGATGGAAATGGATTTTGACAAGGGTTGGAGTGACGGGACACAGGGAATGGCTTCCCACTGCCACAGGGCAGAGATAGATGGGATGTTGGGAATTAGGAATTCCTGGCTGGGATGGAATTCCCAGAGCAGCTGTGGCTGTCCCTGGATCCCTGGAAGTGCCCAAGGCTGGGCTGGATGGGGCTGGGAGCAGCCTGGGACAGTGGGAGGTGTCCCTGCCATGGCAGGGGTGGAATGGGATGATCTTTGAGGTCCTTTCCATCCCAAACCATTCCAGGATTCTCTGATTTTATCACTTAAGGGTCTCCATTGGGCTCCCACACTCCCTGACTTATCCAGCTGATATCAGTGACATGAGAAATCTAAGCCATGTTGGAACATTGAGAAAAAAGGGAAGGATTGCACTAAGGCAGTGGGATCTTGGGTGGGATATTGGGAATGTTCCTCCTGGAAAGTCTGTCCAGCCCTGGCCCAGCTGCCCAGGACAGGGGTGAAGTCCCCATCCCTGGAGGGATGTGACTTCCATGTGGATGTGGCACTTGGGGACACGGTCAGGTGTGGCCCTGGCAGTGCTGGGATCGATGGACTGATCTTGGAGGGCTTTTCCAGCCTAAATAATTCCATGATTGTCTGGCTCCTTGCTCCTCCTGGCCTCTGAGGTGAAGAGTGAGAGGTCACCAGCCAGGAGTCAATCCCAGCTCTCAGTCCATTATGGGATAGGCAGGACACACTGTGGGAAACCAGGACGCCTGAGAATATCCTTCCTTGCTTTCTGAAAGCCTCAGCTGAGTCTGAATTCCCTCCTTTTCCCCTCCTTGGGTACTTGGAACATTCATTAAGGGGCCAAGTGTGCTCTGATCACTTCTAAAAACACCCTCAGACTTCCCGGCACCACCAGCGAGCCAAGAAATGTGGAGCCCGAGGGAAAGGGAGATAAGGAGGAATTCCCACATTCTGCTCCCAGACACCCACCAGGGCTCTGGACACAGGATTAACAAAGGCCAAGGCGGAGATTAAAAGTTGGAAGAATATTTTGGGGTTCTATTGCTACACAGAGTTTGTGGGGACAAACAAATCCAGGCTTGGAAATTGCCAGGATTTACAAATGGGAGCTGAGAGCAGGTGCTAAGAAAGTTTCAATCTGTGTGGGAAATTTATCATTATTTCAGTTAAAACTGAGCTTTTCTTCCATTATCAATAAACAACAACCTCTTCTTTCCTTGCTTCCTTTTCCCTGGCTTTACTCCTGCTTGGAAGGGAGGCACCACGTGAGAAAAAAGGGATGACGAGGGGAATTTGGAATTTTGTGGCTGTCAGGAAGGGCCCGTGCTGCTCTGGGGACCAGACCCACCTTTGTGGTTGAAGTCGTAGATGTACTCGGGGCAGGGCATGGCCACCACCTTGCCGGGCACGCCCTCGGGCCAGCACACGATGCCGTCCCACTCCGGAAGGCAGAAGCCATCTGTGGGAGAGAACGGGGACAAAGAGGAGTCACTGCACCTGCAGAGGTGACACCGGTGCCCCTCTGCTTTTTCCCTGAAGAACCAGCGTTGTCATTCCATTGGGAAACCTGCCCTAGGAATATTGCCAATTCCTTCTTAGAGTGTGGCTCTAGAAGGTGCGAATTATCCCAAGTTTTATGCCACAAGGACAAAGTGAGCTCAGCTCTGGGACCGCCAGGATCAGAATGACGTGGCACTGCTGGAGAGTCCAGAGGAGGCAACTCCAGAGAAGGGCTGGAGCCCCTCTGCTCTGGAGCCAGGCTGGGAGAGCTGGGAATGTTCACCTGGAGAGGAGAAGGCTCCAGGGAGAGCTCAGAGCCCCTGGCAGGGCCTGAAGGGGCTCCAGGAGAGCTGGAGAGGGACTGGGGACAAGGATGGAGGGACAGGACACAGGGAATGGCTTTAGCTGAAAGAAATAGATTTAGATGGGATACAGGGAAGGAATTCCTGGCTGGGAGGGTGCAGAGGGGCTGGTATGGAATTTCCAGAGCGGCTGTGGATCCCTGGAAATGTCCAAGACCAGGTTGGAGCAGTCTGGGACAGTGAGGTGTCCCTGCCATGGCAGGGGAGGAATGGGATGATCTTCCCAGGTCCAGGACCTGCTCTTGCCCTTGCTGAATTCCACAAGTTTCCTCCCTGGAAACTTGTTCAGGTCCCCAACCTGTTCAGGTCCCTCTGCAGGGCTCCACAACCCCTCAAGGCATTTCCCGCTCCCAGCTCCATGTCCTCAGGGAACTCGTCTGCTTTGGGCTGGAAAACTCCACCCACCCATGGAATTCCAGCTGCAGTGCAATATTGAGAATGAAACACTAAAAGTGGTGGATCTGTCCCAAATCTGCTCCCAGAGCTGTGTCTGCCCTCAGCCACGAGGTTATCGAGTGCTGGACACAGGAGTCACCTGGGAATCAAAAGGAACAGGAACCACCTGCCCTTATCCACGAAAAACTCCTCAGGGAACTAAATCCAAACAGGGCCAACTAATCCACAAAAATCTCCTCGCGGAATTAAATCCAAACGCAGATCTCAGCATGTTGCATGGATATCAAAGCTTTCCACCTCCCAAGAATTCATCCTTCCTCACCAATGTGACTCCCCAAGATTAAAGGAAAACCAGGATTGTTTCGAAGCCCTTTGGCTGGTCTAGGCTCAGTGCCGACACGGATTAATTCAGTTTGGTGGTTTTTAGGACATGAAAAACACTGAAAAATCTCCTTGTTTAGCAGCTGATTTCTTATCTCTAATTTAGTGTGGATGAAAAGGACCAGACAAATCACAGGCTTTCTTCTAAAGCATCAGCTGGGAGTGAGGGTCAGGAGCAAAAATTCCTCAACATCCATGTGATAAAAAAGAGGGAAATAAATTATTGCATTTTCTCTGCTTCTTAGGAGAAGAAAAATACATTTCCTATTCATGAAAACTGGGAAAATCCTTCCCTCTGGCTCATTATTTGCAGGATAATTTACACAGGAAAAAAGAGTTTATTTATTTCTCAGTTCTCTGGAAGGTACAAAAGACAAAAGAATAAACCAAAGAACAACACAGGGCCCCACAAAATTTGGCTCAGGACAAAATGTTGATGTCCTTGACGTCTTTTCTGCAGACAAGAAAGTAAATAAAGATTTAATGAAGCCCTCAAAGTGCTCTTGCCTAAAATAAAATAAGTTCCTATGACGAAATAAATCAATTTGAGTAAACATTAAAAGAAACACACTGGAGAAACAGCTCTGAGAGAAAACAGTCCTCCAAAAGTGCTCTGAAATGAGAGGGAAAATCTCCAACTTCTCCAAAATCTTCACAAATTGCAAAGGGCAATTTCACTTTTAAGAGGTTTCATTTTGCGTCCCACCAAAATGTGTGGCCAGAAAAGAAGAAAGTGCTAAATTTTGTGGTGGGTGCATCCTCCTTGTGCTGGAAACATGGAAAACTGATAACAAACCACACAATCATTGCTTTTTGGATACTTTGAGCCCCCAAAATCCTCCCCAAAAGCTGAAGGGAAGGGTGGTGGGACACCTCTGGAATGCTGCTTTATGGGGGGACAATTTGGGAAACCAAGAGCTGCCCTAGAAATATTTAAAAAGATGATTGTTGCATTTAAAATTTTGACCTCTGTGTGGAAATGATTCCTTAAATGATTTAATCCTGAGTCATCAAAGGATTATCCTGAGTCATCCTGAGTATTAAGTCCTGATAAGAATCCACTGGGACTCAAAATTCGGGAAGCGTCTGAGCTTCCCAACAGAAGGATCCGTCGCTGTTATCAGGACCTGCACCCCCCCAGAGAAATCTCTTCCCCCTCCTCTCCATCATCTCTGGCCTCTCTCTCCCCATTCCTTGCTTGGAAAAGCCATTCCAGAAAAATGTGGAGGAGGGATAAAACATCTCAGTGACTGTTTCCTTCCTGGAATTCTCTGGTGATGGATGATGAGTTCAGGGAAGGGTGGGTGGATATTTTGGATCTGCCACCTGTACACCCCCCTAAAATTCAGGATAACACAGCTGTTCCCTGAATATCCCAGGAGCCACGGGGGAAGGAGAGAGGATTTGGGTTGCAAAGAGGGATTGCAGGTAGGCGAACCTGGTGAGGAACATCCAAAGGTCAAGCCAGGTGCCTCTGGAGCTCCTGGAATACTTTGAGGTGCTCCTACATTGACTGAAACTCTTGGAAAACCTTTCTCAAATGGAAATACGGACTGATATCAAGAGTGGCTGCACTTTGGGATTGTTGGATCCACATTCCTGGGGTTTAACACAGACAAAAGCTGTTTGCCACCTCTGTGTCCTGGAGAGGAGCCTCATCATCCTCCTCTCCTATCCCAAATCCCTCCAGTTCTCCCATCTAAGGAGACCTCCTGGAAGCACAAGGAGGGATGGGTTTAAACCACAGGAGGGTTCATTCCCACTAATTACAAGGAAGCAATTTTTATAATGACAATTATAAAAATTTATAATTATAGTAATTTTAATAATGAAATTTAAAATAATTTTTATTATATATTTTTAAAATTTTAATAATTTTTATATAATGGTGGAACACTGGAACAGCCTTTCCAGAGAATTTGTGGATGCCTCTGGATCCCTGGAAGTGTCCAAGGCCAGGTTGGACAGGGCTTGGATCACCCTGGGATAGTGGGAGCTGTCCCTGCCCATGATAGGGGGCGGAATGGGATAATCTTTAGGGCCCCTCCCAAACCCAAATCATCCCATGAATCGCTGATAAAACAGGAAGAGAAAATCCCATATTTCCCATTCTGCTGGAATCCAAACAAGCCATTCCTTTCTGTTTGTTTTCCCAAAGACCTCCTCCAAACATTTTTTCCCTGAATTTATAAAAACATTCACAGTATCAACAACTTGGCTTCTCCCTTTGTTTTCCTTTTCTCCCGGCCATTTCTCCAAGGAGATCCAGGCTGAATTCCAAGAAGAAAGCAGAAAACTGGGGAAGTTTGTCCTGTTAATCTGTCCCTCTTGACACACTGGTAACAATATTCCAAAGCACAGAGAATTCCAAAGGATCCAGTTGGAAAAGCTTGTTGAAAACCCCTTAGAATTTTGGTGAAAATGTGTTTGAGGCTTCCACTGTGCTGTTTGGATCAATCCAGGTAGTTCAGGACGTGGAACTGGAAAAGTCAAACATTTCTTTCCTTGGAAAAAATAGGAGGATTCACGGATGATGGAAGTCCAAAGGAATTCATAAACTGTTAAGAAAACAAGGAAATCTCACACAAATCCCACATCCCAGAGTGTTTTGGGCGTGCATCTGTCATCCAGACAATGCTGAAGGGACGATCCTGTTTATCCCTCAGGGATTTGCCTCTTCCGAATCCAGAGCTGCGTCTCTCATGGATGTGGACACGGCAGGTGGGAATGGCACTGGAATTCCTCTCAATTTGAGGACATCACCGACGACTTCAGTGCTGGAGAAATGAGTCCTGAAGGGAAACATGGGATCCCTCCAGGATCCCATCGGCTCTTGTCCACCAGGACACCTCTTGGATCTCTCCTTCCCCCTTGAAGCACATGGAAGTTGCAGTCATTGCAAGATTGGAACAAGCAAAAACTCTCTTCAATAACACTCCTGAAGAAATGAACCTGAAGGGAAGATGGGATCCCTCCAGGATCCCACTGGCTCTTGTCCACCAAGACATCTCTTGGATCAGTCCTTTCCTGTTGAAGGTTGGAATCTCAGGGCATGGAAGCTGAAGTCATTCCAAGACGGGAACGAGCAAAACCACTCTTGGATGTCATTGCTGCAGGATTTCCCTCTGGAAGGCAGGAAGGCCAATCCCAGAACACTTTGGGAAGGGGCTGTCCCAAATGTATCCCTCATTTTGCTCCCTGACTTTGCTCCCCCGCCTGAGCCAAGTCAGAATCCCAGAATCCCAGAGGTTGCTTTGGTAGAAGAGAGAATAGTAGGAGCAGCTTTGGGCCATCCCTGCTCAGGGTGCATGGAGAGTTATTCCCTCCTCCCTGCTCTTATCCCACCCCCCTTTTCCCTTCCCTTCCTGCTCCTTCCCTTTCCCCCAGCCTCAATCCCCGTTCCAGCCGGAATGGGACACTTTGCATGTGGAGAAGGCATTCCAGCCATCTGCGAGGCTCCTTGGCAGCTGCACAAATGCAAACACGGGCTCGAGGTGTTTATCCAGGGGCACGGAATATAAATCAGCCTGGCTCATTCCGGCACCCGGGAGACCACAGTTGGAATACGCTGTGTGATTGTGGTCACTCCATTACGGGAAGGACATTTGGGGCATTGGAAGCAGGCGGGGAGGAGCGACCAAAAAAAATGAGGCAGCGTTTTGGGACAGGAAGGGGGAGAAATTATTTTGGGATAGGAAAGGGGAGAATTGTTTTGGGATAGGAAGGGGAAGAAATCATTTGGGGATAGGAAGGGTAAGGAATTGTTTTGGGATAGGAAGTGGGGAGGAAACATTTTGGGACAGGAAGGGGGAGAAATAAT